TAATGACGTCATACTTATGATGACGTCATAAATTACAACTGTGACGTCACAATGTATTTACACACTCCAGCGACGACACCAAGTAATTTAACAATTGTAGGGAGACTTTTGAATTAAATATACAGTATTTGTAAAGTAACAGTGCAACATTTACGATTGAAATGACAAATCTATTAATACATTCTAGAGTTCAACTTTGGTTTCATCAATTGGATAAACATTTGTTCTTTTTCCAGTCTCAGCTGCTTGTTACTTGTATACAATTTATAAAACGGAAAAATAGTAAATTTCCCGTTTCCGCAATCATCAATGTGTTTGCTGACACCTAAGCATCGAACATTAGGGTCTCTAATCTGCTGTTTGTGTACAGTGACTCTATCTTTTAATTCCATGCCGGTTTCACCGATGTAGTTTTCGCCGCATCCCGAACATCTCATAACATACACCACATCTTTGCTGCGGCAGTTCATGTCGGCTTTCACATTGAAACCCTTGCCATTTGCAAAAAGGAAAGTAGTACCTTCACTTATGATGTTACACGTGCCGCATCTTGGTGTGTTACATCTACTTACACATGGTACACTCTCTGTACAAGAATATTTGGATGGACAAAGAATCTGCTTGAGATTTTTTGGTTGCCTGGTACTTTTTATAATTTTAAATTTATTCAGTCCTTGTTTCATTTTATCGCTTTGCTGTAAAATTGACGCAATAAATGACGCAATAGAAAAGTCTTTAAAAATTCCAAGACATACTCTCCTGAAACCTAATGAAAAATCTGTGGGCGATCAAATTATACCGTTTGTGTCCACCTTCAATCCTAATAATTGTGATATCATGCCAGTCATAAGGGACAACCTCCCAATTTTACAGCAAAGCGATAAAATGAAACAAGGACTGAATAAATTTAAAATTATAAAAAGTACCAGGCAACCAAAAAATCTCAAGCAGATTCTTTGTCCATCCAAATATTCTTGTACAGAGAGTGTACCATGTGTAAGTAGATGTAACACACCAAGATGCGGCACGTGTAACATCATAAGTGAAGGTACTACTTTCCTTTTTGCAAATGGCAAGGGTTTCAATGTGAAAGCCGACATGAACTGCCGCAGCAAAGATGTGGTGTATGTTATGAGATGTTCGGGATGCGGCGAAAACTACATCGGTGAAACCGGCATGGAATTAAAAGATAGAGTCACTGTACACAAACAGCAGATTAGAGACCCTAATGTTCGATGCTTAGGTGTCAGCAAACACATTGATGATTGCGGAAACGGGAAATTTACTATTTTTCCGTTTTATAAATTGTATACAAGTAACAAGCAGCTGAGACTGGAAAAAGAACAAATGTTTATCCAATTGATGAAACCAAAGTTGAACTCTAGAATGTATTAATAGATTTGTCATTTCAATCGTAAATGTTGCACTGTTACTTTACAAATACTGTATATTTAATTCAAAAGTCTCCCTACAATTGTTAAATTACTTGGTGTCGTCGCTGGAGTGTGTAAATACATTGTGACGTCACAGTTGTAATTTATGACGTCATCATAAGTATGACGTCATTATATGTCATTGTCAGTTACACTGAAGAGCTGTCATGAGACAGCGAAAGTACTATGTATGAAACTGATATAAAGAAGATGATGGACTAACGTGGACTTTATTATTTTATTATATATTACATGTACACCGAGTGAACATTTACCTCATTTTTGTATATATATATATATATATATACATATATATATATATATATATATATATATAAATATAAAGTTCTATCTCTCAGGCACAATATAGTAATAATTAAATAAGTGGAGTAAGATTGAACACAGTTTTAATTGGCTAGCGCTTTCAATTCGTACCACGTACGAGTCTCATCAGGCCATAACTGAATAACGGACATGAAGTAGTAACATAAAGTTGCGTGACGTCATAACATTTAGAGAACTATGACGTATTATATTGTACACCTTGGTATTGCCAATTAAATCTGTGTTCAATCTTACTCCACTTATTTAATTATGACTATATATATATATATATATATATATATATCTATATCTATATATAAACAAGGAAATATATTATCACGCCAAAACGTAACTCAACTTCCGCCCGTAAAAGAAAATAGCAATAAAGATGTCAGCCAAGTTGTAATACCTCAAGGGCAAACGTTATCATGTATAAATGCACAATTTATATGGCGCCTTCAAACAGTTTGACAATGAAATATTTTTTTCTGGTATATGTGACAGTCTTAAGACCGCTTATGACCCCTTGGGATATTTTTAAACAGTTCACAACGTTTATGTAACTATCATTAAATCATATTTTCCCATTGACGACAGGAAATTAGCGTTAAGACTAACAGTATGACATTACATGTCATCTTTATTCCTATGCAGAAAAAACAACATACACGCCACTGTTTCTGCTTGAATTGAGTTGTGTGTTAGATGTATGATTGCATTTCTCAGTCTGTTGACTGTATTCACCATACACATAATACTAAATCCCACATATAACGTCACCCAATATAATAATCCTTGTTGACGTCACATATACGATCGTCTTGTTTGACGTTATGCATGACACAACACGAACGGTATGTTATGCCGGTACATGCCAACTTTATTTGTAAATATGCAACGTCAATGCCAGAGAATAACCCGTCTCGATTATCCGACGAAACATTTTCCATTGGGCGTTAAGGCAAAATAACGGTGAAAAATGTGTGAACTGAGCACTGAACATCAGAGATGACCAAAGGTGGTCGCGAAATATTCGTGGAACATCATGTGCATATTTTAATTGTTACGTGTCTCAACGCAACCTCTCTAAAAGTTCCATCGTTAAACTTTGATAACGGACAAGTGTGATCCTTCAAGAAGGAAGATGCCTTGTTAAGAACCTCCTGAAAACTTGGATGTCGTTTTGATGCATAACGGGGATTAAACAGAAAATCACATCACAAAATACATTAACTTCTGGGGGGCCCAGTCGTCTAAGGCGCAGCGATTCGCTGTGCAGACACGCCAGAAACCTATGATTGTGGGTTCGAATCCCGGTTCACCCCGATTATGTTTCTAGGTTTGTCAGCACCAAACCCGTGCTCGTGGGTTTCTCCGAAGTGGTAAACGTCTGAGACCTGCATCACTTCGGGCTTTCCTCCAACATTAAGCTGCACGCCGTGATACAACTGGAATAATGTTAAAAGCGGCGTTAAACCCAACTCACTCACTTACTTACTCGTTAACTTCTGAACATTAGTAATACATTTCACTACACTCCAAAACTACAAGGAAGTTTGGACATAACTTTAATGTAAACATGTCAGCAATCGTAAGCTAAATGCCAGCCTAAATTCAAAGATATGTACCTTTAACATATAATATACGCTATGCATTGATGTATTGATGTATTGATTGTGTAGTTGGTGGTAGCTTCTTGGAAATATCAAGAACGTGATGTGGACACAATGCCTGGGCCTTCCCTCAAGGACTATTGTGCTTGAGCATGGTGGATCTACGTGAGAGCACGGGCTGCACGTACTGCTCCAGTGTGCTTGGCATGTGCCGCTGACCTACCGTGTACCGTTACATCCTCATTGCACATTCAAAGGGAAAGCACTTCTTGTCGGTACTCAACGGTCTAAATAATGCATTCACCAGGCAATAAACCCACTTTTAAACATTAGACAGCAATAAAATACGGACATATGTGTCGTTTATTCATATCACTTGAAATAAATGCACAATAAATGTGGACAAAACGCAAGCAATTCAAATCCCAGTTGGAATGGTTTTCAAAGGATGCGTATAATATACAGGCTGTGTGTCAGTAGCTTACTCTACTGTCCAGTATCGGAGTTACTTGTGTATAAAACATATGATTCTGTTCTATCTTCATCAGTATGATCCGTAATCCGACGAGGAATATAACCAGTAGTAGTTATGGACTATTTGTGAATCCATATGTCAAATATTTATCATTTTGTTGCAATCATGAGGTCGCTGTGTTTATGACAAGCCCTTGTATTCAACGTTGCGTTCTGGCTGTTTGCGCTGATATTTGTCAATGTCGCTGTTGATGTGGTCGACAAGGAAGTGTGTGTAACACTAGAATGCGTCAATTTTTAGCCTCGACTAAAGCAGACACGGAAACGAAGTGACAGTTTCCGTTATAGATATCTACGTCGACCCGTTATACTTGCGAGCTAAATACAAGGAAGTTATTGTCATACATTGAACAGTATTTTAGTTAAAGCGTGACTGCGCCCGGAAAATGGCAGTCCTAGAAAGTTTTATTCAAGTCCTAATTAAACATCCCTGGGTCATTTGTTGCTGTTATGATTACGAACGTCAATTCCGCGGTCATGTGATCGGCCTCACATCCAATGGAAAACTTAACATTACAAAATAAGTTCAAAAGTTCAAAACGAAGCAAATACGAGAAAATAATTCGATAAGGATTCTACTTAGATCCTAAACTTACATCGTCATAAATGATATATCGCATACATTTAGGAGGTTTCAATTCGATTATATCAGACACATATTATTGCGATTTGACATCATCTGATTTACCACTCTGAAGACGCTTAATATGTTCTGTCAATGAACCAGCTTTTTTTCCGACATGGCATTCTTTTGTTCACGTACGCAATAATTAGAATAGGAAACGCAATACACAAAGAAAAGGTCAATATTCCGAACATTGAGTAGCAGAGTAGTATTTAAGTCAAACTGTGGTCGGCAATACAGCTTCGGTTCTTGTAACTACAATTAGATTTTGAGACAACGTCATTTACCAACAAAAGTTTGATGTGTGTGAGTAATTGCCACTTCGGATTGCCCAAAGTTGTCTGTAGTCGAACCAGATTCCACAACTCGTGTAACGTGTACATCGTGTCTGGCGAAACCAGGGACGAGTCATTGCATACAGGTGTGTAACTGTGAGATGTAAGCACGACTAACACGCGTTTCTGTTTTCAGATAACTGCAGTATTTCGTCACACATTCCAAAATGAGGTTTAAGCTGAAGAGATGCGTCGTTGCTCTAGTGTTCATCGCCTGCATCCCGTTTGTCATGCATATGATGGACATACTCAAATTCAAAGCAAGGAAACCACGACGACCAAAAGTAGAGCTTCACCTTGCTCCACCCACCAACACAGGGACCTGCGACAAATCAGTAAGTAATTAACGTACAGGTTTTAATAATAAACTGTAATGTGTATTCAGCGATGTATTTCTCAGCTGTCCAGAGCTGGTATGGATGAAGATGCAGTTGTCCACTGAGCAGGTACAGACTGTAGCCGCACTCACTTATCTGCATCTCTTGTAAACAAATGATGAACATACAACAGCTCATGTACAGAGATTTCTTACAGAACTCAGTGAATGAATGAATGAATGAATGAATGATCTTTCTTTCCTCCTATCATTTTGGAGTGTGAGACATACAATTATAGTCTGGGATTTCCTACAGAGCTCAACGAGTGAGTGAGTGAGTGAGTGAGTGAGTGATCTTTCTTTCCTCCCATAATTTCGGAGTGTGACATACATGTAAAGTCATGGCTTTCCTACAGAGCTCAATGAATGAATGAATGAATGAATGAATGAATGAATTATCTTTCTTTCCTCCTATCATTTCGGAGTATTACATACATTTATAGTCAGGGAAACACAACATATTTACATGAGCATTATGCAGAGAAATTGGAAGTTTCACAATAATGCATATTTACATGATATGATCCTGGTGTGCGGTGTGTAACTGTTTATAGATGGATCATTGATCTCAGGTTCCATGCATTCCAGCCGTGTACTCAACATATATAACTATATACAGCCGTGTATTCAACATATATAACTACATGCAGCCGTGCACACAACATATATAACTACATGCAGCCGTGCACACAACATATGTAACTACGTGAAGCCGTGCACACAACATATATAACTACATGCAGCCGTGCACACAACATATGTAACTACGTGAAGCCGTGCACACAACATATATAACTACCTGCAGCCGTGCACACAACATATATAACTACGTGCAGCCGTGCACACAACATATATAACTACATGCAGCCGTGCACACAACATATGTAACTACGTGAAGCCGTGCACACAACATATATAACTACATGCAGCCGTGCACACAACATATATAACTACATGCAGCCGTGCACACAACATATATAACTACATGCAGCCGTGCACACAACATATATAACTACATGCAGCCGTGCACACAACATATCTTACTACATGCAGCCGTGCACACAACATATATAACTACATGCAGCCGTGCACACAACATATGTAACTACATACAGATGGCACACAGCATGTTTATCTACATACAGACGTGTACACAAGAGAGAGAGAGAGACAGAGAGACACAGAGAGAGACAGAGAGAGAGAGACACAGAGAGAGACAGAGCGCACATAAACGTTCTAACTCTCAGGCACATTATAGTAATAATTAAATAAGTGGAGTAAGATTAAACACAGTCTGTATTGGCTACCGCTTTCAACTCGTACAACATAGGAGTCATGGCCTGACTATGTTCAATCTTACTCCACTTATTTAATTATTACTATACACACAACCGTGTACACAATATATAGACTTATATGTGTACACAATACAAAGATCCACATATAGCCGTGAACACAACATGTATAACGACAAACATCCCTAAACACAACATGTAGGTCAACATCAGACGCTTACACAAAATATTGACTAACATATAACCTTGTACAGACCATGTAGGTCTACACATGCACAACCTTGCACAAAGCGGATCTATCCACATACAATCGTTTACAGAGCATAGTATATCTGCACACAACTCCGTGTACACACCATTCATACCTCCATACAGCCTTTTACACAGCCTACACGTAATATGATAAGGGCGTCAACCTGAGCACAGGACGTGAAATTGTTTTTTGTTGTTGTTTTTTTTGGTCTAAGAAATCATTAGCAGCAGCTCGAGGCATGAAATAAAGTTCCAAGGAAGAATAGATACCCGCATGCAAGTATTCGACATCACTAATATCTCAGTGTACCAATAGAGAAAATGAATTTCCCTAAGGAAATCATAGATTTACGTGTTTGACATATTAGGGGATCAGTCTAAAGTACACAACTGAAATAGGTATCAATTAAGAAGTGAGACCAGCTGACAGAGCGAATTGAAGTTGTTCCGAGGCATCTCTTACGTATTTCTGGAAGGAATCGACTTTCGTTTTTTTCCTAAACCGTTCCTGAAGCCAAATGCCATTATAAGACAACTACTGGTTCTGTTCTGAAAACATATGTTTGGCAGTACGACATTCCAAATGACATCCATGTGGGGATCCGCTGAGGGACACGCCCAGTCTGCCGACTTACATGAGGATTGGATAATTATAAGGTGTGCGTCATCAATGGAGTGGATACATGCTCATTGTGTTAACCACTGGTTTGTCTGGCACAGGAGCGACTATTTACAGGCAAACTTGCTGAAGCTGGAATAGTGATCACTGCAGCTTAAATAAACATTCACTCACACTTTCAAGCTGTGTGTTTTTTTGTTGTTTAACGCCGCACTCAGCAATATTCCAGCTGTATGACTGTCATCAGTGAGACAAGTTATAAAAAAGTTGGATCGACTAAAACCTGATAGCCACCCTTGACGGTGTCGTGTAGACAAATTGATATCGATGGATCCACTTTTATATATTTTTGGAAAGCTTATGTATCATATCATGTGAAGAATATCAACGTGTTACAAAGGGTAAATACTTATTTAGATCATATTGTAAATTTAAGTTGGAAATGGTGATGTTGAAATTTGATCTATTCTGATGTTGACTCAGACTTCCTGGTACACAACGTGATAATGTTGAACCTAAACTCAGTAGTTTTTGTCGTGTCTCCAACTTGTCTCTTTTTAATCATCATTCGTCTGGAAGAACTCTGGAACTACCGAAGGCGCTATTTTGAACTGTTGATTAAATATACTACCGTCTTCATACATAATGTACCCATGTGATTATGTTACCCTCAGATATGTCTTTATGTCGTATTCTATTTCTTTGATCGTCGAAAAAACTACTAAATTATTCACTTCAAAGTCAGAGGGTAGTGACTTTGAATTTCTCAGAGATTCCCGTAATCCGTTTTTGATATTGTGTAGCCATAAGTGAGAACTGTGCTCGATAGGGGCCATTCGCTGTAATGACAGGACCGTGAACAAGCATGATCAAGTTCATATCTGGCCCCGAGTCTGTCTTGCCTTGCCTTGCATTGCCTTGCCTGGCCAAGTTCCCATTAGGCAGTGCAGTTGGACACTCTCATCTATATTAATGAGAATTATAGAGAAACGGTCAGTCTTGATTATGAAAGCAGAGTCAATCAAGAACTGGACAGCTGGTCAGTTTCCATGAAAGCTACGTACTGATTTGTGTACAATGGAAATTACCCATCAAGTTTTGATTTAGAGAGCTCAGTGAAGCTGTGCTATGACTTGCTGCAGGATAGGCGAACATGATCAATGTATGGAAGCAATATGAGAAGGGAGAAAAGGGGTTTTCAAACTACAACTGAAGTTACAGTGTAGGGATCATGTCTGATTCATATTTCAGTATGAAACTACATATGAAATGAAAGTACGCTATTCCCGAGAATCAAAATTAATGTCAGCAGTAAGCGAATTGGTACATCCATAAAAAAGTATATTCAATATTCTATATGATCTGTATGTGATCTTTCAAATGATAATTCATAATATTTCATTGCAATTATTTATTGCAATTACTTATATCGACATTTGCAACTGAAACATTAAAGCTTGATGACAAGAGTGTCATTGACATCGGGTGTACAATATTCTCATATATTTCTATTTTCACGCAGAAATGTAATCCTACAAAAGACGGCATGCTCAACGTCCACATCGTCGCCCACTCCCACGACGACGTCGGCTGGAAGAAGACAATGGATCAGTACTACAGTGGGCAAGGAGGAGGGAACGGTATGTGTCAGTGGGGCCATGAATAACTGCATTACGTTTGTCTTGCATTAAATGGTGCCATGTCAAATATCATGATTAGGCAGTCATCATTGTCATCATGTATTTGTTCCCAAAACGGACGCGTATGCCGTGTCTTATATGTTGTTGGTAATAATGACTGAAGACAGTGATGACTTAAATGGCCACATTATGTTTTAAAATGACTACAGCGAAACCGCCTTCTCTCGAAGTCCTGGGTAAATATGCTGAGTTTTCCGTATTTCGAGTTAAGCAGAGCTAAATATGCTGCTTAACAAACAAAATGTATACACCCATGTTTGATGGTGTCTAGATCTTGTTCCTAGTGTGTCCGTTGAAAGGACCTGTTCCTAGTGTGTCAGCTGAAAGTCCCTGTTCCTAGTGTGTCAGCTGAAAGGCTCTGTTCCTAGTGTGTCCGCTGAAAGGCCCTGTTCCGAGTGTGTCAGCTGAAAGGCCCTGTTCCCAATGTGTCCGCTGAAAGCCCATGTTCTCAGTGTGTCAGCGGAAAGCCTATGTTCCCAGTGAGTCAGCTGAAAGGCCCTGTTCCTAGTGTGTCAGCTGAAAGGCCCTGTTCCCAGTGTGTCAGCTGAAAGGCCCTGTTCCCAATGTGTCCGCTGAAAGCCCATGTTCTCAGTGTGTCAGCGGAAAGCCTATGTTCCCAGTGAGTCAGCTGAAAGGCCCTGTTCCTAGTGTGTCAGCTGAAAGGCCCTGTTCCCAGTGTGTCCGCTGAAAGCCAATGTTCCCAGTGAGTCAGCTGAAAGGTCCTCTTCCTAGTGTGTCAGCCGAAAGGCCCTGTTCCGAGTGTGTCCGCTGAAAGGCCCTGTTCCCAGCGAGTCAGCTGAAAGGCCATGTTCCGAGTCTGTCAGCCGAAAGGCCCTGCTCCCAGTATGTCCGCTGAAAGCCCATGTTCCCAGTGAGTCCGCTTAAAAGGCCCTGTTCCGAGTGTGTCAGCCGAAAGGCCCTGCACCCAGTGTGTCAGCTGAAAGGCCCTGTCCCTAGTGTGTCAGCCGAAAGGCCCTGCTCCCAGTGTGTCCGCTGAAAGGCCCTGTTCCGAGTGTGTCAGCCGAAATGCCCTGTTCCTAGTGTGTCAGCAGAAAGCCCATGTTCCCAGTGTGTCAGCTGAAAGCCCATGTTCCCAGTGAGTCAGCTGAAAGGCCCTGTCCCGAGTGTGTCAGCCGAAAGGCCCTGCTCCCAGTGTGTCCGCTGAAAGGCCCTGTTCCGAGTGTGTCAGCCGAAATGCCCTGTTCCTAGTGTGTCAGCAGAAAGCCCATGTTCCCAGTGTGTCAGCTGAAAGCCCATGTTCCCAGTGAGTCAGCTGAAAGGCCCTGTCCCGAGTGTGTCAGCTGAAAGGCCCTGTTCCCAATGTGTCCGCTGAAAGCCCATGTTCTCAGTGTGTCAGCGGAAAGTCCATGTTCCCAGTGAGTCAGCTGAAAGGTCCTCTTCCTAGTGTGTCAGCCGAAAGGCCCTGTTCCCAGTGTGTCAGCTGAAAGGCCCTGTTCCCAGTGAGTCAACTAAAAGGCCCTGTTCCTAGTGAGTCAGCTGAAAGGCCCTGTTCCCAGTGAGTCAGCTGAAAGGCCCTGTTCCCAGTGTGTCCGCTGAAAGGCCCTGTTCCCAGTGTGTCAGCTGAAAGGCCCTGTTCCGAGTGTGTCAGCCGAAAGGCCCTGTCCCTAGTGTGTCAGCCAAAAGGCCCTGTTCCCAGTGAGTCAGCTGAAAGGCCCTGTTCCTAGTGAGTCAGCTGAAAGGCCCTGTTCCCAGTGTGTCCGCTGAAAGCCCATGTTCCCAGTGAGTCAGCGGAAAGCCCATGTTCCCAGTGAGTCAGCCGAAAGGCCCTGCTCCCAGTGTGTCCGCTGAAAGGCCCTGTTCCGAGTGAGTCAGCCGAAAGGCCCTGTCCCTAGTGTGTCAGGCAAAAGGCCCTGTCCCTAGTGTGTCAGCCGAAAGGCCCTGTTCCTAATGTGTCTGCTGAAAGGCCCTGTTCCCAGTGTGTCCGCTGAAAGGCCCTGCTCCTAGTGAGTCAGCTGAAAGGCCCTGTTCCCAGTGTGTCCGCTGAGAAGACCTGTTCCCAGTGAGTCAGCCGAAAGGCCCTGCTCCCAGTGTGTCCGCTGAAAGGCCCTGTTCCGAGTGAGTCAGCCGAAAGGCCCTGTCCCTAGTGTGTCAGCCAAAAGGCCCTGTTCCCAGTGAGTCAGCTGAAAGGCCCTGTTCCTAGTGAGTCAGCCGAAAGGCCCTGTTCCCAGTGTGTCCGCTGAAAGTCCATGTTCCCAGTGAGTCAGCGGAAAGCCCATGTTCCCAGTGAGTCAGCCGAAAGGCCCTGCTCCCAGTGTGTCCGCTGAAAGGCCCTGTTCCGAGTGAGTCAGCCGAAAGGCCCTGTCCCTAGTGTGTCAGCCAAAAGGCCCTGTCCCTAGTGTGTCAGCCGAAAGGCCCTGTCCCTAGTGTGTCAGCGGAAAGGCCCTGTCCCTAGTGAGTCAGCCGAAAGGCCCTGTCCCTAGTGTGTCAGCGGAAAGGCCCTGTCCCTAGTGTGTCAGCTGAAAGGCCCTGTCCCTAGTGTGTCAGCTGAAAGGCCCTGTCCCTAGTGAGTCAGCCGAAAGGCACTACACTGCTACGCCCACCTTGGCTATTCTCAGTTCACCATGTTGAGTTAATCATCATGTAGGAGACATCACAAGCAAGAAACAAAACATCGTAATAGTCATTGTCTCAAAGTCAGTAGCAGTCTACATTATGACATGGTTAGCAATAAACTGAGCTCTTGTAAGAGTGGACATCTTTTTCTTCCGTCGGAGAAATGTACTGCTGATTTGAGGATGAAAGGCTCGGTGCCCATGGCACATTAGCGGTATGGCGTGTTAATGTCCCCTGCGTACAATCGCAATAAGGCTTCCTTGACGAGATGAGGCTAATGACAGAATAATAGAATCGATAAAGAAATATGCTGATATATAATGACCACATTGTAGCCGTCAACTTGTTTATGTCATGTTCGTGTGTTAAACGAATACGTAACATTGCTATAACCTACCTCTGGGACAGTCAGATATATAGAAGGCGCGGATGTGTGCTAACAACTCGAGTCTCGCGTGTTTGTGGGCGTGCGTGCGTGCGTGCATGCGTGCGTGCGTGCATGTGTGCGTGCGTGCGTGCGTGCGTGCGTGCGTGCGTATGTGTGTGTGCCTTAAATATATTGACACTCAAGGTGCCGACAAGAAATTTGGGGAGGGGAATTTGGATCCGCCATTGTATATGTGAGAAACTCATATACCATACATCAATATCCGAAGTTATAATATATCTTTTTATAATGAAGTCATAATAAATGTTTGTGTTTCTTTTTGTGTTTGTGTGTACATTTGGTGGATGTGTTATAAATCACTATGATAAACATAATATAAATTAACACATGCTTATGACCTCGTCGGAATCGTACAATGGACTATTTCTTATGAGTATGCTGAGGGATTATAGTTTTGGTTCCGTTTATATATTTATTCATCTGTTTATCTGAAACACATGTCAATCCCGATGATTCACACTTATTACAAAATTTGAAACTGAATTATTGAATTATTATTAAATCATTTTCAGCTGAGTCATTTTATCACGGAGGCGAGTGCACAAGGTGTATTTTGGACAACGCGATCAGGGAACTGATAGGAAATCCCTCCCGAAGGTTTATATTTGTGGAGATGGCCTTCCTCTCTGCCTGGTTTAATGAGCAGACAGAAGACATGAAAAGACAAGTAAAGGCATTGATCAACGAACGTAAGAATTTGTTTGTTTGTTTATTTGTTGTTTAACGCCGCACACAGCAGTATTCGAGCTATATGACGGCTGTCTGAAAAATAATCGAGTCTGTACCAGACAATCTAGTGATTGGCATCATGAGCATCGATCTACGCAATTGGGATACGATGACATGCATCAAGCAAGTCAGCGAGCCTGACCACCCGATCCCGTTAGTCGTCGTCGTATAGCTGGAATATTGCTGAGTGCAAACAACAAACCATCCAATCAACTTAATTTATCATGAACAAAGGTAGTAAATGTGTGAACACAATGGCTGCAAGATGCTCGCACTCTTACATCTGAAACCTGACGAGTTTAGCGTTGGTCAAGCCCAACATAAGTCGAACGTTGCACATCCCGGTTCGCCCCGATTATGTTTCTAGGTTTGTCAGCACCATACCCGTGCTCGTGGGTTTCACCGAAGTGGTAAACGTCTGAGACCTGCATCACTTCGGGCTTTCCTCCCACATTAAGCTGACACGCCACTATATAACTGGAATAATGTTAAAAGCGGCGTTAAACCCAACTCACTTACTTACTCACACGTTAACTTCTGAACATTAGTAATACATTTTACTTAACTCCAAAACTACAAGGAAATTTGGACATAACTTTAATGTAAACATGGCAGCAATCGTAAGCTAAATGCCACCCTAAAATCAAAGATATGTACCTTTAACATATAATATATGCTTTTCAAGAAACGCTATGCATTGATGTATTGATTGTGTAGTTGGTGGTAGCTTCTTGGAAATATCAAGAACGTGATGTAGACACAATGCCTGGGCCTTCCCTCAAGGACTATTGTGCTTGAGCATGGTGGATCTACGTGAGAGCACGGGCTGCACGTACTGATCCAGTGTGCTTGGCATGTGCCGCTGACCTACCGTGTACCGTTACATCCTCATTGCACATTCAAAGGGAAAGCACTTCTTGTCGGTACTCAACGATCTAAATAATGCATTCACGAGACAATAAACCCACTTTTAAACATTAGACAGCAATAAAATACGAACATATGTGTCGTTTATTCATATCACTTGAAATAAATGCACAATAAATGTGGACAAAACGCAAGCAATTCAAATCCCAGTTGGAATGGTTTTTAAAGGATGCGTATATACAGGCTGTGTGTCAGTAGCTTACTCTACTGTCCAGTATCGGAGTTACTTGTGTATAAAACATGTGATTCTGTTCTATCTTCATCAGTATGATCTGTAATCCAACGAGGAATATAACCAGTAGTAGTTATGGACCATTTGTGAATCCATATGTCAAATGTCAAATATTTATCAGTCCACAATCGTCTCCGTGTCACGCCTCAAAGGCAGTCGGGAAACAGCCGACATCCGCAAATCTCCTCATCTGTTGACGTGTTATGATACAGATTGAAGGACACAGAGATATGGTTTCATCAGACAAGAAACATTTTTGACAAACATTAATACTTGATACAGGAGATTTATGATATTATTCAGTTACTTGTTGAACTGGCTCACCCGACGCATACCGGATACCGCGACACTCTCTGACCAACGAAGAAGAGAATCATCGCTACACATTAACTATCTGCCAACATAATTCAATTTTTAATAAATTTCATTTAGGGCCTTTTTTAACTTTTAACAATTATCTGTGAGACGAAAAAAACATCGTTCAAATGGCAATGTTGTGGGTGTGAGTTTGTCTTTGAGTGTGCGTCTGCTGATATTTGGGGGGCAGTCGGGTAGCCTAGTGGTTAAAGCGTCGGCTCGTCTCGCCGAAGACCCGGGTTCGATTCCCGACATGGGTACAATGTGTGAAGCCCATTTCTGGTGTCTCTTGCCGTGATATTGCTGGAATATTGCTAAAAGCCGTAAAGCCATAAAAACTCACAAACTGTTGATATGTGTACGTGAATAATGTGTTTTTGTCTCTGAGAACACTTTTGTTTGTTTGCTTGTTTGGTTAACCCCGCACTCAGCAATATTCCAGCTATATGAAGGCGGTCTGTAAATAATCATGAGCATCGATCCACGCAATCTGGATACGATGACATGCATCAACCAAGCCAGCGAGCCTGACTACCCGATCCCGTTAGTCGCCTCTTACGACAAGCATAGTCGCCTTTTATGGCAAGCATGGGTTGCTGAAGACCTATTCTCCCCCGGATCTTCACGGTACGTGAGAACACTTACTGACATTTAGCTTATGAAGATGAACACAGGACAGTAAAGACATTCATTTATATTTGATTCTTTACATCTGCCACGTGCCAAGGAATATCGCGGCTGCAACCTATGGTCCAATGCCCCGTTATAAGGCCAAATACAGCATATACGAAAACCATTTCAATACTAACGATCCCGTTATTAAGATGATCACGTTCAGTAACTCAAAGCGTCATTTGTTCACTCAGGACGCCTGGAACTAATAATCGGTGGTTGGAGCATGAGCGACTCCGCGACGACATACTACGACGACGTCATCGATCAACACACCCATGGCTTCCAGTGGATCGAGAAAGAGTTTGGCGAATGCGCCATGCCCAAGTCTGGATGGCATGTAGACCAGTTCGGGCACTCGAGGGAACATTCTTCTATATTTGCACAGGTATCAGTAGATAATTAAGTAGATTTACATGTAGTTTATCGACAAACGTCGTTGACATGTTATATTCTACTCAAAAGAAGTTAAAGAACACCTGATTCTTCTATATTATGTCATAATTATGTGAAAAATGTTCTTTAACGTCTTTTGAGTAGTACATGTATTCAGTATTAAAATTTTGTTAACACAAAGCCATCTGGACTGTCGAACATAGCTCGTGTTATCCGTAGTTCGGGACAATCGTGAACATTTTATATTGGGTCACGGCCCCGATTCGTTTCTACCAACACTATGCAGGTACGATAAACTCTGTACCAAGTTACTGGGTTCGTCAACAACATTTAGTTGGACTACTTAACCTGGGCTATACGAATATTTAACACAACAACTGAGTGCTTATTGGAGGTTATTATTCGGAATAGACAGAGGCCGAATTTTATGGAGTTATATATCTAAGAAATAAACGAGTAGGAGTTGTTTATCGTACAATAAAACACTGCAATAAAACACTGCAGGGAGAATAAACCACGAGTGGCGCTGTGAGTTATCCCAAGAGATTTAGCTGGGCCAAAACGTTTGAAACGTTCTTTTTTCTACACCGTTATCTTAAAGTGTAAAGTAGAATGAATAACATCATGTACATAGTTTTGTTTCAATTACCTTATGTGAACAGTCCGTGTTCCATTTCAAAACAATGTCACACAAACGTACAGCACAATATATAAAAGTCGTAATTTTCTGATCAATTGATTTTGTATTCATAAAATACAGTTCTATAAGTTCTCACCAACTTTAATGTGTGTTACGATGTTTGCCCTCGTCATATTCCCAGTCCTAAGCATCCAGGTGTTATTAAGTAGTATATTTATAGAATGTACTGAAGATACGTGTGTACAAGGATGCCTAACATTCCTCACTGGTTGTTGTTCTAAGTAGGTGACCTACATTTGCGGACATGATGTGACACTGAGATTCCCCATTGTGTGTACGTGTTGAGGGGCGGTCGGGTAGTCTAGTAGTTAAAGTGTCCGCTCGTCACGCCGAGAACCCGGGTTCGATTCCCGACATGGTTACAATGTGTGAAGCCCATTTCTGGTGTCCCCCGCCGTGATATTGCTACAATATTGCTAAAAGCGGCGTAAAACCATACTCACGCACTACGTGTGTTGACAGGGAGTGTGTGTATGTGAACACTACACATCCTGCTGCTATAGTTCTACATGTTCCCTTATTTCTTTCCTTGCGTATATGTAGGTTAGATGAGTGAGGGTAGGTGGTTGTGTAACCACTCTTCAATGGCGTACATGTGACTGGGAAAGAGAACTTGGTAAATTGGCATAGTTCCTTAATGTTTCTTAATGACAACGACGTGCGTAACTAAGGCCTAGTGATGCTTGTTTGCAGCCTCAAACTCTCTGCTCGTGATCATCACTTTGAGCTTAAACGAATTAGTGTTCAATTGGCATTGAAGTCAATTCACTCCTCACAATCCCTCTTGTGTGTACTGTGTGATGTGTGATGTGTGATGTGGGTAAAGTATGTTTGTTTGTAATCACAGTAAGACCCAATTTCATTTCAGTAACAGACGACCATGGTACACTAGATTTTCAAATACAATCGTTAAGAGCTCCTGGTCCTAGAAATTTGACCACAGCAATTTCTGGTTGCCCTTATCGGACTAAGATCACTCCCTACCTTTTGGTATTTGATTTCAGTTTGGCTTTGATGGGTTGTTCCTTGGTCGCATAGACTTCCAGGATCAGGACAGGCGAACCAAGACAGCGAACATGGAGACGATATGGAGAACAAGCCCTGACAGTTTAGGTGAGTAAAACCTGGACATATATGTACTGTGTATTATTAATGTTTTTATAACTATGATAGCCCTTATATATGTTATAGTGGAGCGGTGGGGTAGCCTAGTGGTTAAAGCGTTCGCTCGTCACGCCGAGGACCCGGGTTCGATTCCCGACATTGGTACAATGTGTGAAGCCCATTTCTGATGTCCCCCGGCGTGATATTGCTGAAATATTGCTAAAAGCGGCGTAAAACCATACTCACTCACTCACTTATATGTAGTAGTACACTCCACCTAAAAAACATGATAACAATTGTTAGTTTGTTTGTTGTTTAACGCCACACTCAACAATATTACAGCTATATGATGGCGGTCTGTAAATAACCAATCCAGTGATTGACATCATGAGCATCGATACCCGCAATTGGGAAACGATGACATGCATCAACCAAGCCAGCGAGCCTGACCACCCGATCCCGTTCGTCGCTTCTTATAAGCATAGTCGCCTTTTATTGCAAGCATGGTTTGGAGAAGACCTATTCTACCCCGGATCTTCACGGGTTTAAAATAAGATAACAACTAGCATAAAGTCAAACGATAGTCAAAGCAGTAAATGTAAAAAGACATATGTAATTTCACTACTCACGTGCTAACATCACTTTGTTCTGTTTCAAATTCTCTGAATATAGTTGACCTTTCAGAAAGATTTTCGACTGTGTAAGCGAAAGTAATGTCACGTAATTTATAAGCATCGGTTCATGCAGTCGCACGGCATAATAATGTCTTGTACATGTGCTTGTCATTTGAACAAATTGCTAAAAAGTAAGAACGCTGTTTTTGTAAATATATTCTGAATTAAACAACAAAAGAGAAACCGTGTAAAACCAGGCTGCGTAGGTTTTATCGGTTAGTGTAATATCACGATGCATGACGTTTGTGTGGCTGGAGGTATGACACAAGGCATAATTTGCATCTATGGAATCGAGACTTAAGAAAATGAGTCCATCTTGTGTTGGGAGATTTAACAAAAGGCAATACTTGCAATTGGAATGTGAGAACATAACACAATAAATAACAGCGGCAAACCTCTTTCCATAATCACATATCATCCTTCATGTGCCACAAAATCATTTAACAGTATTATTCAATCATAGACCATTTTGTATTATCCTACAGAATGTCATAGGGACCTGGGTTAGCCTAATGGTTAGCGAGTCCGATGCATCAAATAAAAGAGAAAACAAACTTTCCATAATCAGAATAATAAGAAATGTATGCAAAAATCAAAGCCCATTGTGCGATTCCGACAATATTTTGTGTTTATGAATCGCTTTAAAACAGTGATAATACCCGGTGTTCGCAAACAGATAGCATATTCTGCCCCACAAACACATGCACGGGCAAGGGAAGTGATCACCTGAACAATCACGGTTGACCTTTGGATTATGACATAACGTCAGATGAATGTTGTTTGGAATATGGCCACATGGCGAAGCAATTTTGAGTGAGTGAATTGGATTTTACGCTTTTACCAATATACCTGCAATATCACGGCGGCGGATACCTGATAATGGGCTTCCCACGCGGTACCCATATGGGGAATGGAACCCGGGCCTTCGGTGTGACGAGATAAACAGTCTCTGAAATACCAGTGCTCGTCTCCCCGAGGACGGTATGGTAATCAAGTCTAAGTGGATAAAGCCTTCGCTCACTGAAGTCGCGAAAATGCCGATGACACGGGTTCGATTCCCCACGCAGTTACAATGTGTGAAGACCATTTCCTGTGCCCCCGTCGTGATGTTGCTGGAATATTACTGAAAGCATCATAAAACCATCCTCACTTACGCGTCTCCCCAAAAGCTCCTTTTCGATTTCTCGTATCACCATGATATAAGTGGCATGTTTTCTAATCGAAGTAGGGGCGGTCGGGTAGCCTAGTGGTTAAAGCGTTCGCTCGTCACGCCGAAAACCTGGGTTCGATTCCCGACATGGGTACAATGTGTGAAGCCCATTTCTGGTGTCCCCCGCCGTGATATTGCTGGAATATTGCTAAAAACGGCGTAAAACCATACTCACTCACTCTAATCGAAGTAACACCATACACATACACCATCTCAATTATCACATTGTTTTCATATTCAAGCAATGTTGGTGTCATGGAATCGCCATGTTTCGAGTCGAGATGATGAATCCTCTGCTTTCTTCAACAAGGAACAATAATATGTCTCCTGGCGTATTTTCAGGTGACAAGACGAGTCTCTTCACAAGCGTCCTCTATGATGGCTACTTCTCCCCAGAAAGGTTCCGATGGGAGGGCTGGGGCCCCGGCATGTTGTCAGTAAGTGGACAGGTCACTTGACAATCCTCTCTGACCGATATGTAAAAACCAGGCTTATCTGAACTCCACCACAAGTGATCCTTCCCACCCCGTGCCAAATTAAACCTTCACAATCTGGTCTGCGTTGTCTGGAAGAACTAGCTTGTCAAACGTTTGAAGTCAGGCAGGCAAATTTGCGTGCTTCCCTGGCCCTTTGTCGTGTTCTGTGTCTGGTTATAACGGTCGATATTACTTCTCCTGTACACGTGAAAAATACAATATTGACTGGTAGATTAAAGGAGAAGAAAACGGAACGAATTATGTTTGTTATCAATTCCGTTTTGGTGGTAAACTGGTTTGTTGTTTCGATCACCAAACTCTTCCAGCTGATGCGAATGTAATACATTGTAGAAATACTTTTTAAGTGACATTTATAAGCGATGAAGTCAAAACTCTTTTCTCGACCTTCTGGTACACAGTTCTAGGATGAAATGACATTACATTTTCCAGACAGGTAATGCATTTATAATTGAATAAGCTCGAGAAGGGGACCCGCTTTGATATTTTATAGATATACATATATCATATAATCTAGTTTAATATAGACAAGTAGTGTGAATCACAGACAGAAAACTGCTTATACTCCGAATAGGAAAGTTAGAACGACCACTGTAAGGCTCAATGCTGCGAGACTAGTTAACTGCCGGAAATGTGTGTCTGTCTTTGGGTAAATGGTTCCAAGACGCTAATGTTTACTAAAGACACACGGGGATGCTGGATGACCGAGGTCCGCGATGTAGCCGGGATAAGACTATTTGGGATATATATGCATTAAGTACTTCCAGTAATAGGTGAAGAGGGGAGGGATGGAATCCCTTAGACGTTCATGAGTACGATAGAACTGTCGATGCATCATCCAAACAATGCGACATAAACAGCCTTGCATGAAGATACTGACGTTGTTGCCAATCTATGTGAACATTACGGGGGATGCCAAAGTAGAGAGATTATGGAGATTTGGGTTGTGTCATGGTAGCATCATGCCAGTGGCTGTGAGGGACGAGTTTAGTTTCTGCGTCACTGTTGGCAATTGTCCAGTGCCATCTTGCTCATAGCGTTCTGAGTGCTGCGACTAACGTAAGTCTATGTTAAAGTATGGGAGTTTTGGTGGTCTTTGTGTTAAGATCGCTTTTAGAAAGTGGACCAGTTTAACGCCAGGTACAGTAGAGATGGACTTCCCATATTGTTCTCAAGCGTTGACTTCAACCCAGGTCTTCCGTTTAATAAGCTAACGATTTATAATTAACCACTAGCTCCCTTATAACATAGGTATTAGGGAGCGTTTAGATGTATCGTGTTGACAGTTATACGACGCACTGAACCCACAACACTAGCTCTGTCGACTCAAAGGAGATTAAGAGGTGCATTTATTTCCATTAATTCTAATTCATACGTAAGGATGTGTCAACCTAACAGTAACGCTTAATGTCGAATATGCCGATAATGGCGATTACATATATTTTTTTAGGAGTGGGTGTTTTCATGTTGTTTAACGCCGCACTCAGGAATATTCCAGCTATATGACGGCGGTCTGTAAATAATCGAGTCTGGACCAGACAATCCAGTGATGGACATCATGAGCATCAGTCGATCCACGCAATTGGGATACGATGACATGCATCAACCAAGTCAGCAAACCTGACCACCCGATCCCGTTAGTCGCCTCTTACGACAAGCATGGGTTGCTGAGTGAGTGAGTGAGTGAGTGAGTGAGTTATATCACGGTATGTTATTAAAAGCTAATAAAATGAATACCAAACTATATTTTGACGTAAACGGGATGATATGCAGTACATGTTCACATCCAGGCTTAAACATTGTCGTCATCTCACGGAAACATATCCTTGGTTGGCCACGAACTCTCTTAATAATACATCTGTAAGAACGGCCAGTATAACACGAGAACATCCCCCAAGGAAACAGCAGCTAATCATCTGACTGTATAGGAAAGTGTATAATTGTCTTTAGATGTGTAATATGACAGGGTTAGTCATGCAGATCAATAAGCTTGACCTTTAACAAGACATCGAGTTGTGCCGATGTTTGCTAGCCGTGTTAAGTTGGTTTCAAGATTAAGAATTTATCAAGCGTTTAGATTTTGCATTAAATATCCGTTGATAAACCGATTAACTAACGATATATACATAAAATATTGACAAGATATTTTCCCTTAACCAAGACGTTGGCGTTTCTCATCCGACAGATGAATGATAAATCAGTGGGTCTCAATCAGATTGACGCAGGCTGCAGGATGATTACAGACATGTAAGGACGCGAGACTCTCCCGTGGAGTGATCGCTATCCTATTCCTATCAGTCAACAGTTATTTACTGTCAGGATAACTAATGATTTCCACACATAACGATAAATCACCGCTACAATAATTACTTTGTAATTAATAGATTGCCGTTTGATGTTTCCTCTTTATGGTCTTATTAACCGCAGAATGTCTCGGAAAACAAAATCCTCCAGATAACTCGGCACCAGACCAGACAGGTATTAATATTGGGCAATTGGAATTTTAGGAATATGTTTGTCCAACTGATTGGGCTTCTTTAGCTGGAGTTCACTCGAAGTTTGATCTCGTTTGTCAGTTTTATCTCGCCAATGAGGTACTACATTTGAGTTTGCACTTATTTTGAATCTCTCGATGACGCAGATGCATCTACCCTTAAATTGTTAACTGATAAATACGGGTAATATTTTTAATATGTCAGTAAACATTGTAATGTTCGTTTGTCTAATTTCTTTCAGGCACGAAACAGCGAAAACTACGTAAATGCCTTCATCGATATCGCTGTGGAGAGAGTAAGTACACATTGAGAAAGACTTGCGTCTTGCTGCCATAGGGATTCTTAGTGAGAAGAGGTGCCCAGTGCCCCATACATAAGTTATACTACTACCACAACCAATAATAATAATAATAATAATAATAATAATAATGCCAAAGAAAGGTGATCTGACTGATCCTAAAAACTTCCGCCCAATTACTTGTTTGAACACACAGAACAAACTATTTACAGGGTTTCTTACAGATCTCGTGTCATCGTACTGCAATTCGAATGACATTATCTACATGGGGTAGAAAGGAGCCAGAAAGGGATGTTGGGGTTGTAAGGATCAATTGCTGGTTCAGAAAATGATCCTTGAAGAGGCTAAAACTTATCACCGTAACCTCTCCATGTGTTGGATAGACTACAGAAAATTATGATTCTGTACCTCACGAATGGATTTTGAAGTCACTGGAAGGTATTGACCTCCCCGAACGACTACTTGTTTTACTCAAGCCTTTAATGAAATGCTGGTCAACTCAGCCTGAGATGTATTCGCAGGGGCAGGTGGTGACTTCGGAACCCATTTCTATTAGAAGAGGAATATTTCAGGGCGATTCTTTCAGTCCTTTGCTTTTCTGTTTGTCATTAAATCCTTTAAGCTTTTTGCTTAGCAAAGAGGAAGGTTATCACCCTGGACCTCCTCAGCACAGATCCCCAACACTTACTCACCTCCTTTACATGGATGACCTTGAACTTATTGCCAGTGGAGGATCCAGACTCAAAAAACAGATTCCCCTTGTCGAGTCCTTTTCTAATGATACCGGCATGCCCTTTGAACTCGACAAATGCATCATTATTCATCTGAAACGTGGCAAGGTAGAAGAGGGAGGATCAGTCAGTTTTCTTGGAGGAGGAGTTATTGACCATCTCGTGGAAGGTCAGGCCTAAACGTACTTAGGGATGCAGATTGGGGACAAACTCCAGAATGCCCATATCAAGGACAAACTTCGGGCAGAGTACAAATGTAGACTTAAGAAAATCTGGAGTTCAGAGCTGGACGCTCGCAATAAAGTGAAAGCCACAAATACTTATGCTGTACCCGTCCTTTCGTGTTCTTTTGGTGTTGTTGATTAGAAGAAACAACAAATTCAGGGTATTGACACCCTCACACGAAGAATCATGTCAGACAATAGATCCCACCACCCTCGCTCTTCCCTCAATCGCTTATATTTACCAAATTTGAATCATTATGTTAGGACGTGGTTTGATTAACGTTAGGGCTCTTCATGATGGAATTGTTTTGTGCACTTTTGCACGCATCTATTTGTCTGATGATCCTCTTGTGAAGCATGTCAAGACTCATAAAGAAAACAAGGCATTCCACAATGTTCTAAAACGAGTCAAGGATAACGGATAAATCTCAATGTCGGTGTTGAGTTTGTTGATGGTTCTGTACTGCTGGACGGAACAGAAATGAGTGTCAACCAAGCAAAGTGCCATATCAAATCGGCCCAGACTCAGTTTTTAAAGGAGAGGCTATCTGTACGACCACTGCATCGAGTTTATGTGCAGTGTGTTGAGGAGATCAGCAATCTTGCCGAGTCCTTCGCTTGGGTGAAGTCGTCTGGCCTGAATAGCGAAACAGAAAGCTGTATATTATGTATATTATGAAATGAATTTAATGAGGCTGCCCAACAAATTGTCAGTGGATGCCCAGCTTTGGCACAAACACAGTATCTTAAACGACATGATGGTGTAGCTCGATCATTGTATTACCGTCTTCGCAATGCTTGTGGTTTTAACACAGAGGTCCACCCATGGTACGACCCGGTATATGTAGAGGGCGTCATGGAACATGATAAATGCAAAATTCTTTGGAAGAGGCCCATTTACAGCCTCAGGCGTATCCAGGCCAACAGACCCGATCTTGTCCTTTCTGATAAATCAAAAGAAATGGGATATATTTATATCATTGAATTTTCTGTCCCCTTTGACACTAATGTGATTGACAAGATTGAGGAAAAACATGGCAAATATAAGGACCTCGCTTTTGAAATGACGTGCATGCATCCCAAGTACCAAGTTGTCCGACTCCCAATTGTTCTCGGTGCCTTAGGTCTGGTACCTCCCCATCTGTTGACTGACATAGGGAGAGTACCCGGGTTTGCTACCAGGAATACAGCCTTTCTGACAATCTGGGTAATGCAGAAAGCTGCAGTGTTGGGGAGTCTTCACATTCTCCGAAAACTTCACGGTGGGTTTGACTAGGCAGCGCTTCCTGGGAGAATTCCCTGTCTGGGCCGTGTGCAGAGGTGGCAAGGGCCCTGAGCTGATGATGAGCCTAACCAGCCTGACTGTGCCAGGATCACCCAAACCCTCTTTGCTGCATTTTTTTTTTATCTTAATCTGTAAATAATAATAATAATAATAATAGAAACAATAATTATAACGCTTAACGCTTAACACTATACAACTATTGCTTAAAGCACAACAAATATATACTGAACCGCAAAAAAAAACGTCACCATGGATAGATATATGAGAAACATTATTTCTCCAAACACTGTAAACATACTTTTAGACATATTAAAAAGATGAAATTTGGCAAAATTGATCATCAAGGTTGAAATTAAAGTGTCAAATGTTCTTAAAGTGAAACACAACACTGGTCTCTGAAAAAATGGCATCACAAGTCAGTATCTCGTGTGTCCGCCATGTGCATTGATGACTGCCGTGCAACGTCGAAACATGGAATGGATGAGGCGGTTGATGAAGGTCATAGGCTCTTGAGCCCACACTCTGAGGGACGCCTGACGCAGTTCAGTTGCAGTTGTCGGCCTTGGTCGGACGTCATCCATCTGTCTTTGAATCTCGTCCCACATGTGCTTAATGGGATTTAAATCGGGACTGAGGGCAGGCCACTGCATGGTTCTGATGCCATTCTGCTTGAGGAAGTCTCTTGTCGCTCTCGCAGTGTGGGCACGGGCGTTATCATGCTGAAACTCGTGGTTGCGGCGACGTGCCAAATGAGGTATGGCGTGTAGTCTCAAGACTTGATCAAAGTACCGAGCTGCTATGACACCACTGCCTCTCCCTTGACCGATGTTTTGGAAGACCACAGGGCCGACCCTCTGTGCAACACCAATTCCACCCCACACCATGATGCTCTCTCAACAACACAAGAATCCGAATAACGTTTCCCACGGCGTCGCCAGATCGGTCCCGGCGATGACGTGGTGTCAGAATGGGTCCTCGGTGTAGCCTGTGACAGTGGAGGTGTCTGCTCGTCAATCGTCGACGCACCGTGTCCGCACTAATGTGTCGCTGGTGTGTCCCTAAGGTCTGTCGGGCAGTTTCTGCAGCAGTAACAAAGCGATCTTGAAGATGCTGTCGCACAATCTTATGATCCTGACGTCGGGAGGTGACCCTTGGTCTTCCACTTCGTGGTCGGTCTTCTGTAGTGTTGGTGGTCTGGTACCGTTGCAAGGGCCTCTATATGGTCCTTACGTGGACTTGAAATGCATTGGCTACTTGCCGGGCGGTTTGTCCAGCTTGCAATCGTCCAAGGGCTTGGTGTCGCTGATTTCTTGTCAATCTTGGCATGTGGTAGCAATTCAATAACGAATGAATGTTATCCGATCTGGGTGTAATTTTATAGGGCAAGAAATCGGGGAACGCATGTGTATTTCTATTTGCACGGAACTCACGTGCATCGGGTTACCATGGCCGTTGCCGTGATGCGTTTGGGCGATCGGTTTTATTGTCATCTGCTTTAGGTTTTCTATCATCAAATTTTATATTTCTGGACGAGGTAATGTTAAATTTTAGAAGCTTTGACAAAAATTACCCAGATATTTAAATGACAACTTTTCATGCAATGTTACTTTGGGTGACGTTTCTTTTGCGGGTTAGTGTATATAAAACATCAATGCAAGAGAATAATCAGTCTTGATTGTCTACAGATTCCATTTTGCGTAAAGGACAAAATGGCTCTGCAATTATGAATGGACCACTGAAAATCAGTGATGACACCAGGAATGGTCCTAAAATACCGGTATCCACAGTCTTTAGTCATTATGCACTGAATCCAGAGCATCGTGTATCCAAACTCTGTAAGCTGACACAATGTATTGATGCAAGCCATCGTGTATCTTCACTCCTCAAGCTGACACAATGTATTGATGCAAGCCATGGTGTATCTTCCCTCTGTAAGCTGACACAATGTATTGATGCAAGCCATCGTGTATCTTCCCTCTGTAAGCTGACACAATGTGCGTGTGGCGTGAACGGTGATTGATGGAAGTCTCCGTGTATCACATATATGTATTAATGGTCACTCGGTCCTTGTGACCTTGTGAAAAACGTAAAAAAGTATATGCGATCTAGACTGCAATCAATCAAGATGTAATAATGCAATATTTCATGTCGTTTAACGAATGTCAACTGAACGCGAAAAAAACCCTTAGTCTGGAAACGTTATTTTCCCCTTCTCTGCAAAGCAACGCAGCTGATGCAAGGGTTAAGACTACCAACACAATGGTGTCCAAAGCGTTTTTCCCCTTTCATTTACTTAAGAAGCCAAGACCAACCATCATCTCCAACCTTAAGTGACTTCTTGTACTATCAGCACATGGTGTGCACGCCGTGTTCATCTAAAACCTTCTAGATGCCAATCGTCATCCTTCACCTGTGCGCAATTACCTCTTCAGCCGTGATTTTCAGCAAATTCGAAAACAAACTGCACCTGCATCAATTTTGATTTTACTCCCGCTCCCTCATCTTCCCTATCTACCACATGAAGACTCGGGGGTCAGAATTGGTCTTCAGTAACCCATATTTGTCCCCCGTGAAGATTCGGGTTAAAATTGGTCCTCAGTAACACACATTTGTCTCCCGTGAAGATTCGGGTTAGAATTGGTCTTCAGTAACCCATATTTGTCCCCCCGTGAAGATTCGGGGTAGAATTGGTCTTCAGTAACCCATATTTGTCCCCCGTGAAGACCCGGGTTAGAACTGGTCTTCAGGAACACATGCTCGTCGTTAAAGTGCGACTAACGGGATCGGGTGATCGGGTCAGGCTCTGTGATTTAGTTGATGCGGGTCATTATTTCCAACTTGCGTTGATAAATGTTCATGATATCAATCACTGGATTGTCTGGTCTTGATTGTAAAACACAGAGTAGACATACAACCATCAAAACCACACCTCTCTTTCATCCAGTTGTGTTAAATGCTGTGAGGAACGGCTTGTCTGGCTTAGTTCAGTGAACTTTAATCTACTCCAACTATAAATGGCTTATATTAGCTCATCGCTTTATACAGGCTCCCCCAGCACAACAGTAAAAGTAAGAAGTAACCGCCATTGGTAAAACACCACTTATAAATAGTAAGAAAAAAAGGATTGTTGCATTCCGACTTGCAGAAGACCAGTATCTCGTAAAAAATTGAATGATCCATTGCAATCATTTGATATATGAATGTCTTTCAAAGAAAATGCTAACAAGATACTGAACGATTTGCGTATTTAAACTCAATTATCCCTTCCCCGGTTTCTTGTTTCGTTTTTTTTCTTTTACTTTTTTCTTATGACTTGTAAAAAACATCAATTGACAGAGAACTGGTGTGTGGTCTCAATGTCGCAGTCTCACTATAACATAGAAGGATACAGTTTGAGGGGCGGCAATATCATGCGTCAAACCGTGAAGATCCGGGGTAGAATAGGTCTTCAGCAACCCATGCTTGCCGTAAAAGGCGACTTTGCGTATTGTAAGAGGCGACTAATGGAATCGGGTTGTCAGGCTCGCTGACTTGGTTGATGCATCTCATCGTATCCCAATTGCGTGGATCGATGCTCATGATGTCAACCACTGGATTGTCTGGTCCAGACTCGATTATTTACAGACAGCCATCATATAGCTGGAATATTGCTGAGTGCGGGGTCAACCAACAAACAAAGCTTGAGTAAAAAATGTTATAAAATAATACTGATGTTTTACTATAATTGATCATTTGCATAGTTTAGGTTTAATAAAGAAAAGTTCCCGTTACTGGTATCAAATACATTCTGCGTAAACTACACTGAACTGATTAAAAAGTATATCGACACTTTGAAGGGCCCCTCATCAACTTAAAACAGGATAATCTCTTTAATTAAACAGGATAATCTCTTTAAGTAAAACATGATAATATCTTTCATTAAAACAGGATCATCTCTTTAATTAAAATCTGTTGAAGTGTATAGACGTGGCATCCTTGCAGTGTTGCATTGTGCTACAACATGATGTTACCACGTCTGTTGCCAAAACAATAAAAACATTTCGCTTTATCCATCACCATCACCATGACAACTGATGCTGTAATAATATTCTGTAACTGTCAAGACTTTTTTGTCAGTTGCATGTCGCCATTTTGCCAAAGCTTGTTACACGTTTCCCATACACATTGTTTCATCAGATAACCGGACTGGCAGCTGGTGATTTTATAGGAATTATTTCAAAAAAAGACTGTATCAGAGAACTAAACAATGGTTTATAACAAAATATAGTTTCACGTGTGAGGGGATTATGCACAGTTCGGTCGGGCTCTTTCAATATGACACTCCCGATTTCAAACAGATTTCATTCGCCTTTGTATGACTGTGTTAACTTACCTTCCCTATACATTAAACTACGGTTATAACGAACACGCTTATAACGAACTGACGGATATAACGAACTACTTTTTTGGTCCCGACTATTTGCTGTAGTTATGCTGTATATATGCTTATAACGAACTACGGTTAAAACGAACTAAGATTAGTAGTCCCTTTGAGTTCGTTATAACCGTACTTTACTGTACATTACTTTAGTAGAGGGAGATTAAAGATGTGATATTTAGTTACGATATATGTAATTCCTATTGAACCCATTGCTACTGTATGTGTATATATACTATAGGCCTATGGTCTTTTCAGCACTTGAAATAAAGATTGAATTAAATAGAGGGAGATCGTCACACAGTGACTGTGACACCGTGACACCGTGACTGAAATATTATTGGCTAACATTCGTTCATTCTTTCCAGCATTAAACAAAACATGTTTTTTGAAAGTGAGTCCTCGTGAGTTACTATGTTTGGCGTCAGCGGATGGTCTTATATTTACTGATGATATACAGTGAAACTCTGTTAGTCCGGAAACCCCGCAATCCAAACGTCTACAAATAGACACAGGGCATTGTTCCGTACCTGTGATTCGTTCACCGGAAATGACCTGTTTCATTTGTTACGGCGCAATCCGGATTAACAAGGTTGCACTGTAACGTGTGTATTAGAATCAAATTTATACATGATTATTCAAATGATATACCCCTTTAATTGTTCTGATTAAAATATGTTATTCTTTTCGTGTGTTTTTACTCAATTAAAAAACCTGAATATAGATCATGCAGGTTTGAAGTGATAATTCAATACAACCTTTTTTAATAGGGTCCTCATGATGTCAATCACTGTATTGTCTGGTCCGGACTCGATTATTTACGGACAGCCGTCATACAGCTGGAATATTGTTGAGTGCGGCATTAAACAACAAACAAACAAACGAACAAATAAACCTAAATCGTAATATTTGTTCTTATCCCCTTCGTATAAGTTGTGTTCATCCTCACTGGCTCACAGGGGCGGTCGGGTAGCCTAGTGGTTAAAGCATTCGCTCGTCACGCCGAAGACCCGGGTTCGATTCCCGACATGGGCACAATGTGTGAAGCCCATTTCTGGTGTCCCCCGCCGTGATATTGCTAGAATATTGCTAAAAGCGGCGTAAAACCATACTCACTCACTCACTCACTCACTCATTGGCTCACAACATCAAAACAAGAAGGATGACACTAATGTTAGAAAGTGCATCCGAGCTAATGTTCCTAACAGTGCTAACGATTCACAAAACCTTTGTGTTCTAGGCAAGGGCATACAAGACGAAACACGTGTTAATTCCTTTCGGTGGTGACTTTGCTTTCAACACCGCAGCCGGCTGGTTCGATGGAATCGATAACCTCATCAAATACGTCAACGCCAAGGTAAACATTTCCTTGTGTCTAGTTCCACCATTAAACCAGCCCCTCTTGCAGTTGCATGTGCTCCGTTTGGCTCAGCCACTCTGGCATTGTCAAGGTCTGTTGTCTATATGTCCTCAATCTCGAGGCAAATGTCCTTTGTTCAGGACGCATGTATTAATGTGATAATGTGATTACATATTTATGCTGTTTCTACGCGGGGACGCTTAAGCACGTTCCGATTGATGTTGAAGGCATCGATTATTTTTGGTTCTCTTGAAAATGGTTTCGTGAAAATAGGGACTTTTGCATCTGCCGTGTTTGCAGATCAATGCTAGCATTGTTGCACATACTGCCTATTGAAGAAGTTTATCGAACGGAACGGTTTTTTTTCTTACAACTGATTTAAAGAATTGCAGAACTTACTCGTGTATGGTAAATAGTCCCCCATAATACTGACATAAGTGTCCTTACGGACACTTTAGAAGATATAGAAGGTACGTCACGCCATTGGAGGTACGGCGACGCAATTATCTCAAAACTATATATTTCAGCTGCTTTAATCTTGTACCAATTATATATTTTTATCCGAAGAAAGGACATTAAAGCTGCAGCTTCATAACTTACAAGTGGTCATGTACACTTATGATAGTTTCTGTACATAATGTCGTGATGGGCGCGTATAACTTCACCACAAATAAATCAGACATAGATATGGACATAAATCAGAATATACAAAAGTATTAATGACGTTTAATATCCATTTCTACAGCAAGACACTGGCAGCAAGGTGAACGTCCTCTACTCAACCCCGACCTGTTACATCAACAGCGTCAACAAAGAAGCGGCAACGTTTGAGACGATGTCGACCGACTTCTTCCCATACTCCACCATCCCCAACACCTTCTGGACGGGCTTCTTCACCAGCAGACCCGGACTCAAGCGCCATGTGAAGACGGCCAGCAGCTTACTACAGGTGGGAATTCAAAACATTCACTTCCTTCGTGGCGCAGTAGCTTAGTCCAGGTGGGGTAAGCATGTGACTCTCTTCGTGGCCAGTAGTTTAATACAATTGGGGAAAGCATGTTACTCCCTCCGTGGCCAGTAGCTAAATCCAGTTGGGGAAAGTATGTCACTCCCTTCGTGGCCAGTAGCTTACTACAGTTGGGGAAAGTATGTCACTCCCTTCGTGGCCAGTAGCTTACTCCAGGTGGGAAGAGCATGTCACTCCCTTCGTGGCCAGTAGCTTACTCCAGGTGGTGAAAGTAAGTCACTCCCTTCGTGGCCAGTAGCTAACTCCAGTTGAGGGAAAGCATGTTCCTCCCTTCCTGGCCAGTAGCTAACTCCACTTGGGGAAAGCATGTTCCTCCCTTCCTGGCCAGTAGCTAACTCCAGTTGGGGAAAGCATGTTCCTCCCTTCGTGGCCAGTAGCTTACTCCAGGTGGGGAAAGCATGTCACTCCAGTTGGGGAAAGCATGTCACTCCCTTCCTGGCCAGTAGCTTACTCCAGGTGGGGAAAGTATGTCACTCCCTTCGTGGCCAGTAGCTAACTCCAGTTGGGGAAAGCATGTCACTCCCTTCGTGGCCAGTAGCTTACTCCAGGTGGGGAAAGCATGTCACTCCAGTTGGGGAAAGCATGTCACTCCCTTCATGGCCAGGGGTTACTCCAGGTGGGGAAAGCATGTCACTCCCTTCGTAGATAGCAGCTTACTACAGCTGGGAAAAGCATGTCGCCTTAGGTCCCGCCTACATATAGTGATGTACGTACATGTAGTTTGATTAAGTTTGAAACAATACTGTTTCCTTTTTTTAAACTATATCACCCGTGAACGATTATGAAATAGCACAAGTTGAAAGCTGTTGTTTTTTTTGTCTTTTGGTAGACATTAGTTTGACATGTTATGTCTGTGTTTTGAAACAAACGCAGTTATAGGATCCCGCGCACTTGACCTGTGACAGGTGCTCATGGCAGGTGGCTGTTCACAGGGAACCTTGAAACGTAATTATATTTTCATTGTTTTTCAGACGTGTAAACAAATGGCAGCTCTTGCACAGCTCCAACACACAAAAGCAAACGTTGATAAGTTAAGTAAGTATCAGTTAGTTTGTTAATTTATGTAAGTAAAGGTGTTTGTATATTTAAAAGAAAACGAAATAAGAGGAGTGAGTGAGTGAGTAATAGTCACTATGGTTTTACGCCGCTTTTAGCAATTTTCTAGCAATATTACGGCGGGGAACACCAGAAATGGGCTTCACACATGGTACGACGAGCGAACGCTTTAACCACTAGGCTACCCGACCGCCCCCGAAATAAGAGGATGTTTTGTTAACGTTCAGATGAAAGTCAAGGCTGAGTGTAGCTCCCGCTGCATGTTTTTACAATCGACCTCCACAAAACGCACGACATGCCTAATCCACTGTCTCGGTCCTCTAAACGAAGGGATCAATTATAATAGTATTTATTAAGTTAAACAGGACCCATTTGTTATATTTTCCAAACGTAAAACTACATTCTGGCGATAGTACTTTCAACAACCAGTTAGAAGCTGAAGATATTTTTACTTGTATATAATTGAGTGAGTGAGTTAGTTTGGTTTAACGCCGCTTTTAACAATATTCCAGTTATATCGCGGCGTGTCAGCTTAATGTGGGAGGAAAGCCCGAAGTGATGCAGGTCTCAGACGTTTACTACTTCGGTGAAACCCACGAGCACGGGTATGGTGCTGACTAACCTAGAAACATAATCGGGGCGAACCGGGATTCGAACCCACAATCATAGGTTGCTGGCGTGTCCAAGGGACGCAACTCTGCACAGCGAATCGCGGCGCCTTAGACGACTGGGCCACTCGTGCCCCCTACTTGTATATAAGGGAACACTGTGACATAATTTATAAAATGCAGGCGCCCCACACTTCATCTGTGTAACATATGTTCCTTCCCACAGAAAGCGCCGTGGGTGTCCTTCAGCATCACGACGCCATCACGTAAGTAGATTAAGGGAGCTTGATGTCGGGTACAAATTCAAGTTTGGGGTGTAGGGATTAACAGGTTTGCAATACATCCATCCGTCAAAATCAACTTTTCAAGTTTATATAACTCAAGTCAACAAAAAACCCGTTGTAATTGTCATATGTCTTCTCTGAAATGAACACCATCGATCACCACCTACACAGACCCATGTCTAGATCTACGCACGTGAGTTGTACCTTGGTCTGTTGCAGCGGCACCGAGATGCAGCACGTTACTGATGACTACAACAAGATGCTGAGTGATGGAGAGGTGGCGTGCCAGGTGAGGGATGTACTGTATACTGGTCTGTCATACAGGCCCCAGCTCATGAAGCCTTGCGCTAATGGAACCAACATATTAAATCTCATACATAGCCTCACGTCTGGGCTAAATCACTCGCTGGGGCCGTCGATATATTCTGGTCTGCCTACGCGAGACGGATCAAAAACAACATGTTTCTCTCGTCGTGTACTTGCAGCTTTGCAACAAGGCTACGTACACCTGGGGTCTTCGAAAGTTCACTGAATAAAAAAACGAAACGAGGCCAGAGACACTGGAGTATGTTTTGCATGATACCGCATGCTTGACACCGCATGAAGAACGCTAGTAACGGGAGATAGAAATCAATTCATCAAGACCTAGCCATTGGGCGCGGGATGTGCTTGTGTGAAGTCCATATGGAACTGGTCTTATATTATATGTTAAACATTCTTGCTGGTCTGATTACCGTCGATTGGTTTACCCTCAGGGTAGCTTGGCGTACCATCACCGTTACGTAGATAATAACTCGTTGTCACTGGATATATGTAATAGGTATTGCCCCTGGCTTCCTAAATAGTGGTAGATATGACATTATACACCGAAGAACACAGATTCCAATTAAATTGTATTCGGGAGATAATGATTGAAAGAAGGAGTGGGTGAGTTGGGTTTAACGCCGCTTTTAACAGTATTGCAGTTATATCGCAGAGTGTCAGCTTAATGTGGGAGGAAAGCCCGATTGATGCAGGTCTCAGACGTTTACCGCTTCGGTGAAACCCACGAGCACGGGTATGGTGCTGACAAACCTAGAAACATAATCGGGGCGAACCGGGATTCTAACCCACAATCATAGGTTTCTGGCGTGCCCAAGGGACGTTACTCTACACATCGAATCGCGGCGCCTTAGACGGGAGACAATGAATATCGTACATTATACATTGAAGAACACCGATTCCAGTTTACCATACTCGGAATACGATGAATGTCGTACATTTTACATTGAAGAACACCGATTCCAGTTTACCATAATTCGAATACAATGAATGTCGTACATTATACATGGAAGAACACCGATTCCAGTTTACCATAATTGGAATACAATGAATGTCGTAGATACCCCTTCTTAATTCATCCCCGGTTTAAAAGTGCACGTTGATTGACGTAATCGCCTGAAGCTAAGTAGAATTGTACATGTAGATTTCAAATTGATAAATGTGGAAATGGATCTTCGATCAGCGGACAGTGAACATACGCGAACTGTATCCTGATCTCAATAGCACAATGATACCACGCCTAAAGATCAAACACTGAATTATCACATAATTCGATACGCAGTTCAATGTGTAATTCAGAAGCTCATACCAAACACTGTCCAAAGCAATTGCATTTCAACTGAGAATTGTGAAACGTCTTCATTTCATTCGTAATGGCTTTGGAACAATAACAATAGAGACATGACAGTTTTAAACCTCTCTCAGAAGCCTTATCTGATCATATTCACTCTGAGACATTGGAACAATAACAATAGAGACATGACAGTTTTAAACCTCTCTCAGAAGCCTTATCTGATCAGGGGCGGTCGGGTAGCCTAGTGGTTAAAGCGTTCGCTCGTCACGCCGAAGACCCGGGTTCGATTCCCGACATGGGGACAATGTGTGAAGCCCATTTCTGGTGTCCCCCGCCGTGAAATTGCCTGAATATTGCTAAAAGCGGCGTAGACCATACTTACTCACTCACTCACTCACTTATCTGATCATATTCACCACGAGACATTTGAACAATAACAATAGAGACATGACAATTTTAAACCTCTCTCAGAAGCCTTATCTGATCATATTCACTACGAGACATTGGAACAATAACAATAGAGACATGACAATTTTAAACCTCTCTCAGAAGCCTTATCTGATCATATTCACTACGAGACAATGGAACCATTCCTCCAAATGACCCTCGTTCATTGGCCATTATTACCATTCTAAGCGAAACTTTTAAGTGCTTTTATGAGCAATACTGGGAGGCTGAGATATGTAGAATGCATTTACATTTCTTTCAACAGGCAGAATTTCCCGTTCCGTGTCGTCTAGTGTTGGATATATTTGTGCTTAAAAGCTTTTACACATCTTAATTGCAAATGATGATGCTGGGTATGCATTAAGCCTGAGACGGTTTATCGGTCAGGAATTCGGAGAGACGTATTCCGCTGTCGCGGTGGTACATGCAGTTGTGGCATGCAACGACGTGACCAAATGTACTTTATTTATCACAGGAGTGGTTATTATTAGCAACAATAATGTTTACACAGACAGTGAGCCACAAAACAGGCGTCAACTCGGTAAATTTGTTGTGGAAAGTAATGAAAAACATTCATGAAGCGTAATCTCCTTTTACGATCAAGCTTTCTTTGGGCGTCAAATGCATGTGTACATTCAACATCAAACATATCAACGACGGTCAGATGTTTAAAGTGTGATATGTCTCTTACCAACAGGGTTAAATCCACTTTGCAAAAAGTAAGCAAGTGTTTCTTATAATAATAGATGCTTTCAAATGTCCTTTAATTGTTCCCTTGAGAGTGAGTGAGTTGGCTTTAACGTCGCTTCCAACAGTATTCCAGTTATATCATGAAGTGTCATCTTAATGTGGGAGGAAATCCTGACGTGATGCAGGTCTCAGACGTTTACCTCTTTGATGAAAACCCACGAGCACGGGTATGGTGTTGACAAACCTAGACACATTATCGGGGCAAACTGGATTTCAAACCCATGGTCATAGGTTTGTGTCGGGCCCACGGGAGGCAACTTTGGACAGCAAATTCCGACGACTTGGCTCCTGTTCTACGTGTTCACTTATGCTGTGTCTATTTACACAACATTAACGGGATGTGCTATAGTATTTTCCTCGACCTAAACATTAGATACACAGGACAAGACTTGGAATATTGGAGGCCAAAAGTATAAAACGACATAATTCGCTCTGAGATGTTGTGCCCCTTAGCCGTGTCAGGATCTGCTGTCAGGGTTTATACTCCCAGATTAATTACTCTACTCATTGAGGATTCTATCAGCACTATACCAATGTTCGCCGGTCTCAGCAAAGCGGTAAAGGTCTAAAACCTGGATCACTCAGCGCTTTCTTCGTGTAGCTTTAATAAACTGTCTGTGGCATCAAACAACATTCACTCACAGCAATCACTGTACAGCTGTATATCTGAAGTCTATTGCAGAGTGCTACACCACATTTATCTCTCAGTTTAAATCAGATTGCTAATATTTATTTGAAACCGGACATTTCGGCATGGGATTCCAGCGCTATCCATTTTCAATCTTCAAGTAATATAACTCCTAAAAGCCTGGTTGGACCTTCGATACATTGTAATAGTCGCCCTTTGAGTATAACCAATATCATAGCAATAAGGTTTGGCCAAATATATTATATATATGGAAAAGCCTGTTTTGATTGTTGAGGGGGCGGTCGGGTAGCCTAGTGGTTAAAGCATTCGCTCGTCACGCCGAAGACCCGGGTTCGATTTCCGACATGGGTACAATGTGTGAAGCCCATTTCTCGTGTCCTCCGACGTAATATGGCTGGAGTATTGCTAAAGGCGGCGTAAAACCATACTCACTTACTTGATTGTTGAGTTTGAAAGGTGGTATCAAAACTATCCTGGCTACTTCCATCCTACACAATTCTAGCAAAGTTGCAGCTTTTCTTTAGAAGGGAATTGTTGAGAGTGAACTTTCACATTACCTTTTGACGTGCCAATTAAATATGTCCCGAAATCATTAAATTTGTTGAGGCGTTATTAGCCCCACATCTGCTCGTGCTCCATTTCGCAATCACGATGACAGAACGTCTCACTATACACTCTGTAAAACAGTATTGGTATTGAATCTCATAGTCAATGCATTTGATATAAATTCACATTTCAGCGACAGTTTTACAGTTAGGTTTTCTTGTTGTGATTATGTGTGTTGTCTTGTATTTTCAGTCGGTGATAGATGACGCCTACAGGGCACTGTCAACTCCACCAGGAGTGGCTCCGAAGCAGGAGTTCTGTCATTTGCTCAACATCAGTTCTTGTCCAATAACAGAAACTGCTAAAACGGTATGTTGAATACAGTTATACATGGTCCTCGGCACCAGTGAAGATCCTAGTTATAATAGGTCATCAGCGACCCATGCAAAAACGTCTCAATATCGCGGCCTCGCTACGAACATAGAACACTACAGTTTGAAATGTAGCTTTATCATGCGTTTGTGGCGATTTTGTGCTTGAGTCAAACCGTGAAGATTAGAATAGGTCTCCAGCAACCCATGCTTGCCGTAACAGGCGACTGTGCTTGTCGTAAAAAGCGACTAACGGGATCGGATTGTCAGGCTCGCTGACTTGGTTGATGCATGTCATCCTATCCCATTTTCGTGGATCGATGCTAATGATATCAATCACTGGATTGTCTGGTCCAGACTCGATTATTTACAGACCGCCGTCATTGCTGAGTGAACACGTCTTGGAGATAATCGATTTATCAGTAGTTCGAGACAATAGAAGTACAGGTATTAAACCTTAGTATACATGTATAACAGGACCAGGACGTAACCTCCCGGCAACGAAAATTCGAGGCAATAACGTTAATGAGTGAGTGAGTGAGTGAGTTGGGTTTAACGCCGCTTTTAACATTATTCCAGTAATATCACGGCGTGTCAGCTTAATGTGGGAGAAAAGCCCGAAGTAATGCAGGTCTTGGATGTTTAAAACTTCGGTGAAACCAACGAGCACGGGTATGGTGCTGACAAACCTAGAAACATAATCGGGGCGAACCGGGATTCGAACCCACAATCATAGGTTTCTGACATGCCCAAGGGACGCAACTCTGCACACCCGTGCCCCCCTAACGTTAATGAGATTTCACAGTACGATATTCAGAAATGCCGAAAAGGAAAAAGGTGACACAAAATTATTTTCTGTTATACTCATAAGCACCGGAACATTTCCGATCTCTTGTAGGAGTAAATTAATGAGTTATTTACCTCAATCAAAGTGTAAATCATATATGAAAAGAATCAGAGAGTCATTTTCAAACAATATCTCAACTGAAGCATGTAGCCATCTATATATACCGTGAGGGATTTTAGATTCGCCTGTTGTGTATGTCAGTTGGGAGTGTCAGAAACCATCTAACCCTGAGTCCAATTCCAAAATTCAGCCACACCCATGCTCCACGGGGGCAGGGGTGACCCAGACGTATCAGGCAACGCAATTCGTTGTACAGAGCTGCATCCCTTGCGGTGTCATGATTGTACGATCATGAGTCCAAATCCTGCGAGTCGAGTGAGTGAGCCAGAATGGTTTCACGCCGCTTTTAGCAATATTCCAGCAATATCACGGCGGGGGACACCAGAAATGGGCGTCACACATTCTACCCATGTCGGGAATCGAACCCGGGTCTTCGGCGTGACGAGCGAACGCTTTAACCACTAGGCTACCCGACCGCTTGTTGTTTCATCAAAGTGGTTAGGCGTATACCTTCAGTCACTTAGGACTTTCCTCATTACTTTCGGTTTCCGACAAGCTGACACGCCGTGACTTAACCCAAATAGTGTTCAAAACGCCGACAAATCCAACCCACGCATTATAGGATCATTGCGTGCATGCAAGACTATCTGAAGTATACTATCCGGGATGATTATGATCACAAAGCATACCGTCACGCGTGATAACTCCCAACTATCAGTAGATCTGCAGAGTTGTGTACATCACTGCTTTTATTCACAGTTTTCCGTGAATTTATTCAACCCCCTTGGCTGGCCAGTCACCCATTTCGTCAGGCTGCCGATCCCCGGGGGCACATACACGGTGGTGGGAGACGGCAAGGAGATCAGGGCTGAGGTGAGACTTGCAACATTCTCTGAAACAAGTACAGTAAACTTCGGTTATAACGAACACGTTTATGACGAAATAACGGATATAATGAACTAACTTTTTAGTCCCGACTATATGCTGTAGTTATGCTGTATATATGCTTATAACGAATTACGGTTATAACGAACTAAAATTAGTAGTCCTTTTGAGTTCGTTATAACCGTAGTTTACTGAACTAGTTTATCAAATATAGTAAAGTACGGTTATAACGAACTCAAAGGGACTACTAATTTTAGTTCGTTATAACCGAAGTTCGTTATAAGCATATATACAGCATAAGTACAGCAAATAGTCGGGACCAAAAACGTAAGTTCGTTATATCTGTCAGTTCGTTATAAGCGTGTTCGTTATAACCGTAGCTTACTGTATAAACGGACTAGCGTCTTTGTGGGATTATCTAGACTTGCTGGTTACAGACATACAGTAACTGGAGTAACACTGGTGTTTCATTCAGTGCACCCGAGGACCAAGGCTAGGTTGATGTATTCACACGTCTCTGCATTTACTGCTGAACTATTTCTAAAAATAGCAACTACACAAGGCGAATGAGTGTTGTTTTACGCCACTCTCAGCAATATTGCAGCCGGCCTGTAAATAAGGGACAGACTGTTTTGTAGTCTAGGGTGGGGACTGGGATGTTATATGGAGGGCTTAGTCTTTGTTACAGCTACAGCCGCAATACCAGATATTTTTTAATAATAAATACTATGAGACTGAATATATATTTTTAGAGCATCTTGCAACAATTTATTTTTGTGGCTGCCAATTACTTTCTTTTTGTCAATAGTCAGAAGTTTAATTTTTTTTTTTCAAGCATTTTGGGACAATCAAATGGTTCATACATATATATGAGTCAGACAAACCAATGGTTGATGGCGTGAGCAACTGACCTTTCCTTTAGTGTACGATGACAAAATCAACATTGAAGGTTAAGATACCCTTTAAGACATAATGCACTTTCCTTGTGGGGATGTTTAGAATCAGGTGGGGTAATCAGACTTTGCATTTAATGAAATCACGGCGTGGTCAGTCTGAGAATTTGATAAAATTGTATAAGTCGAATTAACAAGTGAATTAAATATATTTACAAAAATGAATTTGTTTTGCTCGCTGTTGCAAGATACGACGCTTATACGTATAGTCTAACTTCTTTTTTTTATTCCGGTGTTTCCGTGAAGTCAATATTAATGGAAAGTGTCTTATTGAACCAGAGTGTAATATAGTTATGTCTATTATCTGTCATGAGCTCCACCACGTGGAGTGTACGAATGCATGCAGTTTCATTTCCACTGCATTACCTCCCTATAATGTGGACGGCATAAATCTTTCGGGACTGATTTTAACTCGTAGCTAAAATATCATGAACCTTTTTCTCAAAATTATCATCGTTATGTTTTTAGGTTTTTAAAAATTATTATACTTCCCATCTGCATTACGGCAGACATGTTAAGCTATTAATTTCTGTAATGCTTTTTGAAGAACGTGAACCAACTGGTATGACCGCGTGTGCGGTGTTTTCAATTTCAATATTGCACCAGGAAGTTGAATGAATAATACATGCAGTTCCATTAATATTGTACAACAGAGTAATATGGACAGTCGTTGCCAAATCCCTGAATAAAATAGACCATGCCACTCAAGGCAAAATGAGGCTGTTTTAGCGAGTGTTATATCTCCTTAAAAAAGGTCAACGTCCTCATATTAAAAGCATGAATGATTGATGTCAGATCGATTGAAGTGGATCACGTGATATGGTAGCAGGTAATTTGTGTCGTTTCAGGTCAAATTGATTGCTTCTACTAATCGCTGCAACAGACAATTGACATTGAAACATTATTCATGATCATGAATTCACATAATGCATAGTTGAATGCGGCTTGGGGTATTAATAATCGTGAAATGCCGGCTGTAACGATCGACAATGACTGCGCTGACTTAATGTTTATACGGTACGCAAACCTCAGTTTTTATAGTATTTGGACTACGGATATTACTAAAAGCTAAGGTCCGTGTATGGTCGAAATAAAACCAAGAGTTTAAACAGATACTCTATAATTCATCCATTGGAAGTCATTCCTGTCCGGGAAAATAGAGAAAAATTAAATCAAAAGGATTTGGAGAAAAGCTGTTAAACGCAAAGGGATATATATACATGTGTTAAACCTTCAAAGTCTTTTGTCAAATTGTTGATTTATGTAATTAGTACCCATCTATAATGTACATATAATTGTAATAGTTTTTATTAATAGTATTTATATATTTGTGGTTATATATTGTGTGGCTACATATCGTGATGTTGTATACAGTGATGTTATATATACAGCGTTGGTTATATATATTAGTGATTTCTTTGATAGTCATTTAGAAGTAGGAGTACTAAGTTAGGATAAGAATTTATGGGTGAACAACTTCTTTATTACAATAAGAGTGACGTTTCGGTGTAGGTTCTAACACTGTAGAACCGTACTTGCTTGATAACGATGTTAGAACCTACACCGAAACGTCACACTTATTGTAATAAAGAAGTTGTTTATCTATAAATTCGTATCCTTACTTATATATAGTGATGTTGTATACACTGACGTTGTATTATAGTGATGGTTATATATATTACTTGTTTTCAAAGCGGAGTCCTTGTTTTGAGGTGAGGTGAAATTGGGTTTAACGTCGCGTCCAAGATTATTGCACTTATATAGCGACGTGCATGCACGTGTGTGTGTGAGTGTGCATGTACGTGTGTGTGTTTGTGTGGCTGCTTGTACTAGTCCGGACTGATGCCGTTTCTTAGTGCTAGCTCACTGAGATACCATGCCGCAGTTTAACACGAATACCCCACCTAGACACAGTATACTGACTTCGAGCCGACCAGTCCTTGTTTTAGCCCCTTAATGCGGAGCCCAAGACAGGGTAACAACAAGTACCACTTTTTAACGTATTATTGTTTGACGTGGCCGGAGATCGAACAAAGAACCTTCCGCTCTCCGGGCGGACGCTCTACCACTAGACCACGGAGTCGGTGGCCTCTTCAGAGATAACATGTACTCAAATATTCTTTTTGTTGTTTTGATGCAAATTGATTGAAATTTTGATAAATTTAAGAAACAACTATTTAAAATAGTGTCTGGGGGCACGGGTGGCCCAGTCGTCTAAGGCGCCGCGATTCACTGTGCGGAGTTGCGTCCCTTGGGCACGCCAGAAACTTATTGTGGGTTCGAATCCCGGTTTGCCCCAATTATGTTCCTAGGTTTGTCAGAACCATACCCGTGCTCGTAGGTTTCACCGAAGTGGCAAACGTCTGAGACTTGCATCACTTCGGGCTTTCCTCCCACATTAAGCTGACACGCCGTGATATAACTGGAATACTGTTAAAAGCAGCGTTAAACCCAACTCAATCACTCACTAAAATAATGTCTCCTTGAAATGTTTTTCTTTTATGATTAAGTCACCTACAACCCAGTCTTTTTAATGACAGCCGAAACGTGGTTACAGAAAATCTTGTAAAGTCGACAACATGAAATACCAAGGGAAATAATATTCACTTTCACTTCAGACATAGCATGGCAAAAACTTACACGCTCCTTACGTCGCCTCAAAGTACAAGTCTACCCCAGAATGTGTATCACTCACTTGTGTTTCATGATCGTGTATCATGCTGAAGTCTAGAACACTGATCATGTGGTCGTTTAATATTTTGTTATACACAGGGCGCTCTTACTTTAACCTTTGAATAGTATAACGTCGAATATGATTGTTGATTTTTTGCATAACAATCAAATCAAGTTTTACAGGTAAAAGCATTAGACTTACAGAGTTTGCCGATCTGTAAGGCAAGAACCTTGTTTAAATAGATTGAGTGGGCGAATTGCATTATACGTTTCATTTCATTTTTTAGATTTCATTTTAATAATTTAACATGGCTGGTTTTATAGCCTAACGAAACTTCTTCATACATGTCTATGATGGGCATTTAGTTGGAAGAACGTGAAGACATGGACTGTTTATGGAGAAAGAAGTTTCCTATAAAAGTGTCAAGTCTTCATCTTCTTCAAGGGGGCACGGGTGGCCCAGTCGTCTAAGGTGCCGCGATTCGCTGTGCAGAGTTGCGTCCCTTGGGCATGCCAGAAACCTATGATTGTGGGTTCGAATCCCACGTGCTAAACGAATGGTTCGGGTATTGGGTCGATTTCCGAAATGGTACAATGTGTGAAGTCGAATCTAGCTGACCACACATGTTTGTGTTAAAATCGATGTCAACTCCACTGCTGAAGAATAGGGGACAAAACAGTACCCTATACATGCGGTACAGAGCGGGCTCAGGGGATCAGCCTCAGTGATGTGTCTGCGCTGATTGGTGGGAGGTCTGGGTTGGTCCAAACCCAAGGGGAGGTCGGGTAGCCTAGTGGTTAAAGCGTTCGCTCGTCGCGCCGAAGACCAGGGTTCGAGACCAAAATGAGTATAATGTGTGAAACCCATTTCTAGTGTATCCCGCCGTGATATTGCTGGAATATTGCTAAACGCGGCACAAATCAATACTCACAGGCCTCAGCTGTGTATGGGAATGTTGCTGCTTGCGGCGCTGAATAACAGTCAGTCATTCAATACTACTTCTTAACACTGCTATAATCATCTCTTTGAGCACAACATGTATATCCTAATTTCAATTCATCGTAAACAAGACCCGTGAAGATCCGGATTAGAATATTCTTCAGCAACCCATGCTTGTCGTAAGAGATGAGTAACGGGATCGGGTGGTCAGGCTCCCTGTTGATGCATGTCATCGTATCCTAAATGCGTGGATCGATGCTCATGATGTCAATCACTGGATTGTCTGGTCAAGACTCAATTATTTACAGACCACCGTCATGTAGCTGGAATATTGCGGCATTACACCGCAAACAAACAAACAAACAAACAAACAAACATTTTAAACGATGGTTGTTGTATGTGTTCCAGACAGTACCCCTTCCGCCATCAACTAGCGGCATTCCAGAACGAGGCCAGTCCACAGCTAAAGCCGAGCTCGTGTTCGGAGCTGACGTCCCCCCGCTAGGATTCGCTTCGTACAAAGTGAAGAAAGAATCAAGTCAGTATGCAGTTACACAAGGCGTGCTTCTGATGTTGACATGAGAACCGAAACGTCTAGCTGATTGTCTGAAGGAACTAGAATAATCTGGCGCATCTGATATTTCACATAAACACAAATGCGTTTAGAATATATACGTCATTAATAACGCTGAACACAAGCTATCTTCGGGAGCGTCTAGACGTGGCTCATGTTCACTTTAATATCAACTGAATATATTTTTCCTGATGGTTTTATGTCCTAGTGGTGATTTCAATTATATGTGTCTTATACATGAACCTACATCACGTCTTTGTTGTCGTTCCCATCCAGGTTCGGATGACATCCCGCTACTGCAAGACAACACAAGGGACGACATTGTGATAGAGAATGAGGTAAGAAATCAATATTCCTATTTCGGGGGACACTGAATATTTTGCCGTTGAACCGAACAATTGAACAGCTATATTCGGTAGGATTTACTTCGGGTTGACACCCGTATGTACCCGAGGGTAAGAATATATTATTCAGCACCTTGATGATACGCACGTGTCGCAGTCACTTATTTTGAAGTTCTATCAGCAAGTAAACATTATTCAGCAATAACGTGTTCCCTTATTTTCCCCGTCAGTATATGCGTCATGGTTTGTTCGATGTTTGTTTGTTTGTTTGTTTGTTTGCTTTTGTTTAACGTCGCACTCGGAAATGTTCCCGTTATATGACGGCGGTCTGTAAGTAATCGAGTCTGGACAAGACAATCCAGTGATTGATGTTATGAGCATCGATCCACCTAATTTTGATACGATGACATGCATCAACCAAGTCAGCGAGCCTGACCACCAGATCCCAATAGTCGGCCCTTACGGTAAGCATAAGTTGCTGAAGATCTATTCTAACCCGGATCTTCACGGGGCTTGTTCGATGTAAATCTACATATGTTGCTACTATATCTTTATTCACGTCTCAAATATCCGCTTGTGTCGAACCTACCCTTTGGGTGCTTTACGATAACGATAGATTTGGAGTGTAATGGTCCAAGTCGACTGTCGACTGTCCAAAGGAGCAAGGGCCTTTGTGGGTAATGATTATGAAATCCATCAGATGTGAACATATGAAATACAATTACACTTCGTTCATTTCAATACTTCAATGTGTAGGAATAAAAGCAACAAGGTAAGGCTAAAGTATGATGAATTTAGCGATCCGTATGTAATTTGGGCAAGGCACAAACATGCAAGTTTAGCGAGAAACATGGCTAGTAGTTTGCCATTTGAACGTGTGAGATAATGCACATTCCAATGTTCCAAAGTGAGGATAAGATATATGGATGAACAACTTCTTAATTACAATTAGGAGCAACGTTTGATATGGTCTGATAGAGCTGATTTAGAGTCATTTTTGGAGATTGAACTTTGATGTTCTTTAATTCGGGTTTTGAGGGGCCTAGATGTTTCGCCAATTGCACGGAATGTGGTACACTGCTCCTGATGGTTCTAGCTTGTGGCTGGATGGTGGTTTTCCTGTGGCTTTAATTGTGTTCTGAATTCTGTGACTTCTTTTGAAAACTACATCAATGTTAGCCTGTTTCTAGAGTAATCCATAATCCTTTTGTTGTTTAAATTACTGGCTTCACCCTTTTGTTTATATTACAGACTTCACCGGCCAATATATTTTACCCTTCCGTGTACATAACAGGCTTCTCCACTCCAACTGCATCTTAAACCTACTCAGCTGTATAAACACTGCCTCCTACCCTGTATATATACCTGTCAGCCATACTCTGTACATCACTTGTTTGATAACGGTATTAGAACCTACACCGAAAAGTCGCTCCTAATTGAAATAAAGAAGTTGTTCAACCATATATCATATCCTTACTTAGTAGTCCAACTTCTAAATGCCTCGCAAAGAAGTAACAATGTCCCAAACTTGCCCATTACTTTAAAATTTGACATTTTCAGTTGGCCCCAAAGTGTTCTTATCCTACCTCTCCCTTGTTGGTCATTGTCATGCCGTTTCTTTACAATGAGTCTGTGAGGATCACACTGCATAACTTTCTAATTTGATTTGAATGCATGTTGAGTGGGGCTGGACTCTATGGAAGTTATTCTGTCTGAATCTGTGGAGAAGTGGCTTGGTGTTGGAGTGAAAGACTTTGTTGTATGGACTTTAGTGGTAGAGTTTGACAGAAATCTGACAGAAATCTAATCTCCGTTTAGATAGTTTGAGTTTTGGTAATGTTTTGGTGAGGGTAAGGGTGAGAATAGGGTTCGGGTGATGGTAAGGTGAGAATAGGGTTAAAGATTAGGGAAAGGGTGAAGGTTAGGGTGAGGGTAATGGTGAAGGTTAGGGTGAGGGTAAGGGTGAGAATAGGGTTAGGGTAAGGGTGAAGGTTAGGGTGAGGGTAAGTGTGAGGTAATGGTGAAGGTTAGGGTTAGGGTGAGGGTAATGGTGAAGGTTAGGGTTAGGGTGAAGTAATGGTGAAGCTTAGGTTTGGGATAAGGGTTAATGTTGTGGTAAGGGTAAGAGTGGTTGGAATGGGAAGGGTGAGGGTAGGGGCTACGTACTATTTGTTTTGTATGCTATTTATATGTCGTGATAGGATAGTATGCAGGTGTATGGCTATTTGTGCAGCACAAATATACCAATGATCTCTCACACATACGGACCACATGTAGTATTTCTCACACGAGGTCAGTTATAAGTGTTGTACGCACGTAAAATTATGTACATGTATACAGACAGACAGACAGACGTGTCTCATCTACAGTGTATGAAATATTAACATTAAATTCTCCGATTAACGGACTGAGCATGTTGTAACATTTTTGTAACGCACAGACATGCTGATACTGGCTGTGATGTTATTATTATTTCAATCAGCAGTCACATCTGGAGGGGCGGTCGGGTAGCCCAGTGGTTAAAACGTTCGCTCGTCACGCCGAAGACCCGGGTTCGATCCCTGACATGGGTACAATGTGTGAAGCCCATTTCTGGTGTCCCCCGCCGTGATATTGCTGGAATATTGCTAAAAGCGGCGTAAAACCATACTCAGTCACTCATATCAGGCTCATCTGACGGAAAGTCAAGTGAATTGATGTCATTGTCGTCCGTCGTCCGTCGTCAACAGTTTCAGTTGACCATTGCACTTTAGTTTTATGTTGCATTTCGGCCATGCTCCTATCAAGTCTAAAAATGTTTCTTCTCACTCCGAAACTGACCAACGGACCAACTTCACAAACTTGCTCCCACTAATGATGACACCCCAATAGGAACTGAACTTGCAGGCCTGTCCTTGTGATGAGTTTGTTCCAATCATCAGATGTTGGTTTCAGATATCAGTATTTATACAGCATATATTTGAGTAGCACTCCTAACATGTATTCTGTGTTTTTTTCCATTGACATTTTCCACGTGGGTACAATGTGTGAAGCCTATTTCTGGTGTTTCCCGCCTTGATTTTGCTGGAATATTGCTAAAAGCGGCGGAAAACCATACCCACTCACTCATTGACATTTTAAACTGTTCACTGCATATGTTGGTGAGCTACAGTGCCGTGGCGCTAGTTTTACGTACGTGACATAAATATCAAGGTGCGTCAAAGTTACATTTTGAGCGATATTGTTAAGAATATCATTGTCACACATTGTTGTTTTTTCAGTTTTTGTCATTAACGGTTGATGCTGAAAGTGGTTTGACGAAGACTCTGACAAACCTAGTGACTAAGACGAAGATTGAGTTTGAGCAGAGCTACAGGTATTACCTGTCTAGCGAAGGCCAACAGCGGGACCCCAATGACCGCACCGGGGGGTTCCTGGGCTCCCACAAACGGGCATCGGGGGCCTACGCTTTCGTCCCGAAGGAAGGGCAGGGCCCTGTCAGACTGAACGGTCGTGACTCTAAAGGGGTCAACGTCAAGACATTCAAGGTGAGCGTCCTACACACTTATGTCCTGATTAGGCACTATGAACAAAACCCCTCTGGCTCACGTCGGCAGGTTGGGTTGTGTTCTCCCCAGGGAGTTGAGAATGATAACTGGAATACTTACGGATCCACTGGACGGGGAACAAATATACCGCATTTGAGCAGACTCTAGTATCTGTATAAGTGCGGTATAAAAATGTATAATGTAATAATAATAACATTAAAAGAAATGTATTTATTTATTTATTTATTTATTTATTTATTTATTTATTTATTTATTTATTTATTTATTCGCGGTGGTGGTGGTGGTGGGGATGATGATGATGATGATGATTATTATTATTATTATTATTATTATTATTATTATTATTATTATTATTAATGGGTACAATGTGTGAAGCCCATTTCTGGTGTCCCCCGCCGTGATATTGCTGGAATATTGCTAAAAGCGGCGTAAAACCATACTCACTCACTCACTCACTCTACACTGTAAGAAGTCGTAAGAAGGGCCTAACGAAATAGAGTGGTCAGGGTCAGTTGCTTGGTAATTGCGTGTCATCGTACCCCGACTTCGTGACATGTTCCTCTGTATCAATCTGGACCAGGTTCCATCGTGTACCGGCCACTGTCATGTAGCCAGAATACTTCTGATAGTTTAACAAACATATTGTCGGATTGCCCTATCGTAGTATTGCTGAAATAACGCTCAAATTGGTGTAAAACAATTTTCGATCATATTAATATGCATCATGTTCAGATATTAAGAACTTTGTGAACCTTCGTGATGACGGTGGTATATTGCTAAAAGCGGCGTAAAATATTTCACTCACATATTCACGGTGTCTACCAATTGTGTTGCAGGGTTTGAACGCGCTAGAGATCCACCAGGAGTTTTCTAGCTGGGTAACCCAGGTGATCAGGCTGTATGACGGAGCCCCCTATCTGGAGATGGAGTGGACAATCGGACCTATACCTGACGAGTAAGTACGGAGTGTCAAAGTGAACAAGATCTACACACGTGACATTTAATGCTCGTTCAAAAGACAACCACCCGTGAAGATCCATGCTTGTCGTAAGAGGCGACTAACCAGATCGAAAGGTCAGGCTCGCTGACTTGGTTCATGCATGTCATCGTATTCCAATTGCGTGGGTCGATGTTCATGATGTCAATCACCGGCTTATCTGGTCAAGACTCGATTATTCAAAGACCGCCGGCATATAGATGGAATATTGTTGAGTGCGGTGTTAAACAACAAACAAACAAACAAACAAATTAAAGGACTATCATGTTACACCACTCAGCGACACCACACAGTAGCTACATGACTCATGAATAATACAGGTCAAGTCTGGAACTTGCGCCGTCCTCGAGAGTAACGAGTCACCTATCCACCGGTCTCTGTTGTAGTGACAGGCAATCCAAGGAACTGATATCCAACTTTGTCACCGACCTGCAGACGGAGGGGATTGTGTACACAGATTCCAACGGGCGCGAGATGATCCAACGCAGGTAACTGTCTCTCAGGTGTATGTGCAAAACACCAGGTTCTTTTTGTCTGCACAAATATGATTACATTCAAGGAAAACGTTACGTCAACGGCAAGTGTCAAGGTCAATCTCCCTGTGACATATCAAACACAAGGTTATCATTTGGTTGTCACATCTGATGTTCTTTGATATGGTTAATGATGTATACTCAACGACAAAAGAAACGCGAACACCATACATGTTGTCTAATTCATGAAGAATCACTCATATTCAAGAGATATTGGATTTGTTCGATGCACAACCGAACAAATCCGGGGTAGAATAGGTCTTCAGCAACCCATGCTTGCCGTAAAAAGCGTCTATCGGGATCGGGTGGTCAGACTTGGTTGATGGCATGTCATCGATCCAAATTGCGTGGATCGATGCTCATGATATCAATCAATGGACTGTCTGGTCCAGACTCGATTATTTACAGACCACCGTCATATAGCTGGAATATTGCTGAGTGCGGCGTTATAACAACCAACGAACCACATGTGATGTCATATGGTCCATGACTCGAGATGCGCAATTTGTCTCGTGCAGGATAAGCGTGTAAAGTTTGGAAATCATGTGCAGCATATTGTGATAAGAATAAAGACACTGTGGTAACACTTTACTTATTGTTAGTTTTGTCATTAAGTGGTACACATTGGAAACATCTCTTCTTTACGGAAATACGTCTCTGTATTTTTTAAGGTTCGCGTTTCTTTTGGCGGTGAGCATATATCCTCTCACATAATGTAAGCCATATACGTGAATACACGCGTAAAGAGCTAACCACGTTCGTGGTATTACAGTGTCTCCCAATGATTGTGAAGGTTGTGCAGGAAACGATTTCTGGTTCCGACACTTCATCGGTTTCCCATCTGTTGCCGACAACCCATTACTCAATTAATCACATTGTCATTAGAAATGCAAACTCATTTATTTTTTCAGACTAGATAAACGTGAGACATGGAACCTGACTGTGACAAGCCCTATTTCAGGCAATTACTACCCCGTCACTGGCAGAATCGCTCTACAAGTAAGGAAAACAATTACATTAATCGACGTACTTGTAGTTTAGCTGCTGTGGGCGTTTAAATCCGCCAGGCGTACCGTAACTACTGACTGGCACTAACCTAATGCGATTTTCCTCTCAAAATAAAATTTTAATTTCAGTTTCATTTTTACAGTAGAGTAGCTCTTTTGATTATGTCGAAAACATTACCAAAACTTTAAACGATATAACATTTAAAAATAATTATGTGGATTTTTCAAAGATTTATTGGCAGTAACTAATAAATGATAGTGATGGGTGCTGCATCAAAAACAAATACAACGCATGATATTCCCGCATCATCAATTAAATGTAGGAATGGTTATTTGAATCAAAAGTCCTTGTGGAATCAGAGTGGGGAGAGGGATGATGGTGGTCTCTCGACACCCCACTCCCCTGGTTCTATTCCTCAATAATTGTTTTGCTTTTCTTTTGTGCCTCTTGTGCTTGTTGATAGCTGCGCACTGGTTAGAGTCCCCTCCCTTGGCGCTTTGGTGAAACAATGAGTCATGCTGTCCAACCAAGCGTGGACTCTCTCTTGTATTCGTTATCGTGATGAGTGAGTGAGTGAGTTTGGTTTAACGCTGCTTTTAGCAATATTCCAGCAATATCACGGCGCGGGACACCAGAAATGGGCTTCACACATTGTACCCATGTCGAGAATCGAACCCGGGTCTTCGGCGTGGTAATCGTGATTAATACTCTGTTAGCTCACAACTATTTCAGAATTGACTTCAATAATGTTTGCAGACAGACAGACAGGTTTATTTGCATTAAAGGTCAAGTGACCTTAAGTACAAAACTTTTTACATCATAATTTGAGTTACCCCATGAAGATATACAGATTGAATTTAACAAAATTACTTATTAAGAGGAACCCTTCTTAAAAGATGTGTTAAGAACTTGGTATATGGCAATACTATCTGACGAAGTACATAGGCTTTTAAGTGAATAATACTACTTATTTGATAATTTAGGTAATAACAGTTTACGCTCATCTTCATAATGGTTAAAGACATATACAACATGAATTGCGTTGCAATGTTCACACAGAACATTATCATCGGTCATTATTGATATACCCCTACGTAGATGCTGCACACCCAAAGAATTACAGCCATGCTAAACTTTGTTAATAGACGTTTGCACTCCCAGGGCATTTGAAGAGAAAAATATTTTTCACAATATTGTGAAAAAGTGTTGTTTGCATGTATAGGGGTTTTGTCGTGGAAACCGGAGTCTACATGTTATTACGTCCATACCTCCATAAACGCAACCCGTGAAGATCCGGGTTAGGTCTTCAGCAACCAATGCCTGTCGTGACAGGTGACTGTGCTTGTCGTAACAGGTGACTAACGGAATCGGGTGGTCAGGCTCGCTGACTTGGTTGATGCATGTCATTGTATCCCAGTTGCGTGGATCGATGCTCATGATGTCAATCACTGAATTATCTGGTCCAGACTTTATTATTTACCGCCGTCATATAGCTGGAATATTGCTGAGTGCGACGTTCAACAATAAACAAACAAACTATAATTAACGCAATAATTTATTGAAGTCAATTCTCATATTTAAATAAGTCAACAATATTAACTTCACAGACTAGACAACAGTAATCGGTGGCATTCAGTGCTATAATACAACGCAAGTGCACTTGCCACCCGTTCTATTATCAGCCAATCAGGGAACAGTAAGTTAGTAGGGGTTGGGGGCCTAAACCTTTTTCGGTTTATTGAAACATAAATGAAAAAACATTGCTTGGTTAACCAATCAAATGCAACAAATCACTTGCAATTTATGTTTATGTAACCGTCTCCTGTTTCAAAGTATTTCAATGCACATGATGTAATAACGTATGTCTGTTTTATCCAGGATCAGGGCACAAAGGCCCAGCTGACGGTATTGACAGATCGGTGTCAGGGTGGTGCCAGCATTAAAGATGGTGAAATGGAACTTCTGGTAAATAGTTTCGTCAACACTGTATATAACTAGTCTATCTATCAGGTAGTTGGTCATAACGAACTCTGTTCTACTCCTAGCCTTCGTGTCAGGGCAAACATGCCCCTAGCATCCGGGTCGAACACAGTACCTAATGTTATTAGTAAGAACCGACTGCTTGTGTGTCATCGCACTCTCACAACTTTGGTCTTCATGCTGTCGACCACCAGTTGGTCTGTTCCATTACTGGATGTCATACGGCCGTCGTGACACTGTTTGAAACAATCAAGACACGGCGATAAAACAATAATTCATGCACTTGGACTCCCTTCGGATGTTCACTGTGTGGCGTTGGTTATGATGAACTGTTTGGTTGGTTGGTTGGTTGTATGTTGTTTAACGCCGCACTCAGCACTATTCAAGCTTCATGACGGCAGTATAATGAACTGATTTTGAGCGTTCCTTGGCGTTTCCGTATTCCCCGGGGGGTAAAGCAGGGCGTTATCACACACACACACACACACACACACACACACACACACACACACACACACACGCGGACGCACGCACGCACGCACACACACACGCGGACAGACACACATGCGCACACACGGACACACACACACGGACAGACACACACATGCGCACACACGCACACACACTGGGACACACACGAACACACACACAGACAGACGGACACATGCAAACACACGGACACATACACACGCACACATATACACACGAGGACACACGCACGCGCACACACACACACACACACACACACACACACACACAGAGCCACACACACATACACACACAAACATGATGGCATGGATCCATAGCGGACAGATATACCCCTCGGATAAAACATTAACGCGATTATTGCCTTTCCAGTCCCGTATTGGGATTTCAAAAGCATTTCATGTAACCAGATGGCATGATAGGGCTCGCCAAGTCAGTAGTCTATGGAGATGTAAACTAATATTTTATTTGAGCGATTACTAATATAAAGCAACGGCACCACAGTACTTAGCTCCAACTGATATGGATTGCAGAGTTCGCTTTGAATTTCTCGTTTTGTGTTGAAACAAAATCGATGCTATACGCGTTTCTTTTCATCACACAGTTGTATACCAAATTTAGACACGCATATTCATTAGGGTACACGGTGAAGGGTGATGGTGTCGCTAAGGCACCGCAACTCGCTGTGCAGGGTTATACACCTTAGACGTTCCAGGATCCACTGACCGGAGGGTGAAGTGTCACTGAGATCGTGCCTTCAGGATTCAGCTGACACGCTGTGATATAATATTTACTAAATTACAGTTCAGTGAGGCACTCATTCATTAAAAGACAAATCGTAGCCTATACGTTTTGTGAATGAGGTGGGTTTAACGCCGCTATAAACAGTGTTCGGGTCATATCACGGCGTGTCAGCCTTATGTGGGAGGGAAGCCCGAAGTGATGCAGGTCTCAGACGTTTACCACTTTGCTGAAACCCACGAGCGCGATTATAGTGGCAATATGGTTTAAGAGCGCCTTTGTGCAACTGGAAGGACAACTGGGGCCTGATGTCACTGAACTATTCCTAAATTTACAAACCTCTTTCGGGTGCAAAAACGTAATGCGCGGGCTAGGATTCATGTGAAATTGTTAAAAACTTTACTATTTGTTGCGCACGGATTGCGAGAAGGCAACAGAAGTATGTTGTAGATCATGAACTAAGAATGATTTTGATAGAGGAGCTGTAATGAGTCTTCAAGAGTTGTCTCCCCTTTTCCAGGTCCATCGGCGGACGTTCAAGGACGATGATCTTGGAGTTCAGGAACCGCTGAATGAGAAAGGCGTTGACGGCCGAGGTCTCATTGCCAGGGGTAATTTCACTGTACTACTCAACGTTTGATAGGGATATGCCGATCATACCAGGAATGGTTTATCACTCACAGTGACATTACCGAATGATATTGATATAATTGTAATTGTAGAGTGATTTTGTGTTCTCTATAAGACCCTTAATTATATATAAAAGACTTGTATCGATAAGGATCTCGTTTATATACGGCTGAAATATTACCGATGCGACGTAAATATGTTAACTCACTCCCACACTCTTTATATGAAAAAAGAGATAAGAACTTAAGGAATGTACAGGGTATGCCAGCACATTATTTTGGAGTTTGCTAAACCTTCTAGTTGTGTTACTGTTGATACTTTGTCTGAATTTGACCGTCGCCACGATATATTGCTTTGGAAACCACGCTACGCTTTGATATCCGGGAATATCATACATACACATCAGTTATGTCAAAGGTCAAGGTCATCCTTGTGGTCTGGAAAATTTGTTTACTTAAACGATAGCTCAAGAAACATTTATTGTATGTCAATGAAACTCGGTACATGTCAGCATTGGGACAGGGCCGTGAGCTGAATCGGATATGAGTTCCCTTCGTATTAGAAGTCACAGTGAAGATCGTTCGTAAAGTATGTTTTCCATTTTCACTAAAATGACCCTTTTCTGTAGACATTCTTAAAGCCTTATGCACGTAGTGGTTATATCATTTAAATATTTATGTATGGCAAGTGAAGGAAACATAATGATATCTGGGGGGTTTCCAAATCCAGGAGTGAAGTTATTGAACCTAAAGTGTATCTTTCTTGTTAATGTGGTCAGAGGTATGATGCTATGTATGAAGTGTATATGGCAAGTACTTGCTCTGAACGGTGATGGCATTAAACCGATAGTTTTTTATTAAGTTTTTTTTGGTTGTTGTTTAACACCGCACTCAGTTATATTCCAGCTATATGACGGCGGTCGGTAAATAATCGAGTCGGGACCACACAATCCAGTGATTGACATCATGAGCATAGATCCACGCAGTTGGAATACGATGACATGCATCAACCAAGTCAGCTAGCCTGACCACCCATTCCCGTTAGTCGCATCTTGTGACAAGCATAGACCCGTGAAGATCCGGGTTAAAATAGGTCTTCGGCAACCCATGCTTGCCGTAAAAGGCGACTATGCTTGTCGAAAGAGGCGACTAACGGGATCGAGTGGTCAGGCTCGCTGACTTTGTTCATGCATGTCATCGTATCCCGATGATCGATGCTCATGATATTAATCACTGGATTGTCTGGTCCAGACTCGATTATTTACAGACCATCGTCATGTAGCTGGAATATTGCTGAGTGCGGCATTAAACAACAAACAAACAACAAGCATAGTCGCCTTTTACCGCAAGCATGGGTTGCTGAAGACCTGTTCTACCCCGGATCTTCACGGGTCTTTTTATTAAGTAGCTAATAGCAACCCTGAGGTGATGTAATTGAACTGGAAGTTCTTGTAACTTTGTTATAAAACGTAGCTATAGACCATGTTCTGGGGCATTCAGTGGGGATGGGGGTGCCTCCGTGTTTTTTTTGCATGTAATTGAAACAAATGTCTAGTTTGTTTAAATACACGTTAAAAGTATTCAAACTGCAGAATTTTAATTATTTAATTTTAATCACAGCGCTGTAAGATTGTGATAGTTGCACCCCGACGCAGGCAACTCCCACCAAGCATCCAGTCTTGCGACCGAGATACAACAGCGGTATTCGTTGTTTTTTTTCGTTTCATTTTGTCATTTGTAATTGTTGTGTACAGTAGTAGAATAATGGTGTGATTTTTTTATGTTGCAGGAAAACACTACGTATTTCTGAACACGATAGAGAGGGCAGGGCAAGATTTCCGCCCCCTGGGGCTACAGTTCCATCACCCACCGACAACGTCTTTCTCTGCCTCCCAGCAAGGTCTAACGGATTCTTTGCATACGCAGGTGAAAAAAACTCTTTGTTCATTTGAAATCTTTTTTATCATTTTAGAAACTGAACCATGTTTTCTGCCCCGGGCGAACTGAAGAAGATTGAAGTCACTCACCGCTGTTAGAAAAATAAAAAATAAAATCTATAGCATCTGTAGCATCTATAGGAAACAATTGATCATTCACTCCACGATTTCAAACCCAAGAATAGACTAACGGCAGTGTTTGATCGTACACTCCCACTGCAAGGGATGTGTGCGCCATGAAGGGAGTCAACTCTACCGCCCCTAAGTCGCAGTATGTCGATATTTTCTGAAGCACCCGTAAAGCTTCTGCGATATGTGTTCATCGCATTCCGGCAAATGAGTGAGAAGATTTTTCCGCCGCTATCGGAAATTTTTCAGCTATCCACCGACAGTGTGAACCGAGATTAGGCTGACACATTGTTCAAAGCCATGGGAAGCTTCTTAAGTTAATGTAAACCAGTTTTGGATAGTGTGCACATATTCATCCCTAACGTATACTAACGACCCCGTGAAGATCCGGGTTAGAACAGGTCTTCATTAAACCCAGCTAGCCCTAAAGGCAACTGTCGTACGAGGCAACTAACGGGATCGGGTGGTCAGGCTCGCTGACTTGATTCATGCATGTCATCTTATCCCGACTGCGTGGATCGATGCTCATGATGTCAATCACTGGATTGTCTGGTCCAGACTCGATTATTCACAGACCGTTGTTATATAGCTAGAATATTGCTGAATGCGGCGTTAAACAACAAACAAACGACCCGTATGACTCATCAATCTTAGGTACTTACCAAACCGTTTGATATCGTTGTCGCTATGATATTTAACTAGTTTTGCAGTGAATCTATTGCAATACATTTAAATTTCTAAAGTCAAAGGGCATTAAGGTCATGTCATATGTTTTCCCTTCCAGTGGTTCGGATTATCTGCCCCTCTCCCGAGTAACGTGCACCTGCTGACCTTGGATCAGGTGCCTGGCAAGGTCAATAAACTGTTGCTGAGACTAGAACATATTTTTGAAAAACGGGAGCTCGCTGAATCAGACCAAATTGTAGAACTAGACTTAGAGGTGAGTGGGTGTGATAGACTTTTTTGTTGATGGAGATGTGAGACTGTAAATCATTGTTATAACAGACAAATATCAGAATATAGTCATGGTATTAATAGTTTGAATAAATGTTACTTTTGATGCAATTATTTACCTTTTCATCCAAAATAGTCGTACTGGTATTAGTATTAGTATTAGTAACAGTAGCAGAAGCAGTACTGGCAACCTTAGCAGTATGGGAGGAGAATCGCTGCTGTGGTCGCTTTTATATCAAAATGTTTTCTTATTTCAGGATTTATTTTCCAAGCTAAAAATCACTGGAGTAAGGGAGTTAACTCTTGGTGCTAACCATGACGTGAGCAGTGTCAGCCGACTGAGGTGGAAGACGGCTGATGGGTCATTAACACCCTCTCAAGTCGGTAAGGACACATTCAAGTTTACCTTTCCAAGTACTAACATATTAATTTGTGTGAATTTAATAATTCCCTGCTTGTGTTATCACGATATACAGGGGATATACATACCATTGTGTTCGCAGATAGCAGGAATTGCTTGTGTCCAATTTGTTTATTTTTTATTTGTTTAGCTACTGATTTTTTCCTTTATACGATATGATATGACATGATGTATATAATAATACTGCAATAAAGTCTTCAAAATTCAGTCGGTCCTATAAACGTGTGTGCATCAGTTCTTTGGTCAGTATAAGACGTGTACCTATACGATAATGAGGCATTTAACAGACCTAATGTTTGGATTGTTTCTTGAAATTATGATGCAACCAGGAGGTTCAATTCTACCAAACACACAACAATGCTTCAAGTGATCATCTTCCCGAGGCAAGGGAGTCAACTGACCATAAAGGTCCAGTTTCCACCCTTGCCGAAATAGGCTGGAATTTCTAGGCTCGATCGTACTACCACTAGTGGCTATTACGAGTTATGTCCCTTTTATGTCCCTCCTATTAACCAATCAGATTCCACCTCTGATATCACTTGCATTTGCTTCGAGCAAAGTGGAGGTCCCCAGTGAAGTCGATCTTATCGATTATAAAGATCTTTATTATTATATAATGGGTAAAAACACGAAAAGATTTGGAAAATATCTCTTGACCCCGAGTTGGCAGTGCACATGCTTTGCAAATCCTTCAATCGACCGAAATCTGCACGGCAGTTTACGAACCTATGGAAGCGAAGTAGGGCCACGGTGATTTTTTTTTGTCTAAGTATCTTCTACGTAGGACTCAGTATCTTCTACATAGGACCTAGTATCTTCTACGTAGGACTTACTAACTCTTACGTAGGACTTAGTATGGCCTAGAATTACTATCTCCTACGTAGGACTTAATATCTCCTACTTAGGACTTAGTATGGCCTAGAATTACTATCTCCTACGTAGGACTAAGTATGGACTAGAATCACTATCTCCTACGTAGGACTTAGTATCTCTTTCGTAGGATATAGGAAGTCCTACGTAGGAGATAATAAGTCATACATAGGAGATAATACGTCCTACGTTGGAGATACTAAGTCCTACGTAGGAGATACTTAGACACATAAAATTCACCGTGGCCCTACTACGCTTCCGTGCGAACCGGATGTTGATTTCGTTACGCGATTTTGATTGGACTATGCATAGACACGTTAATCCAGCCAAACTAAAACTTCATAATTCGAGCCAAGTTCGGCAAGGGTAGTAACTGGACTTTCCAACTCACATAACACTCTTGCCTCGGGGAAATGCAATTGATAGATTATTATTTATAATGTTTGACTTTTGTTTCTGCTTGTTTGACCAGGTTCTTCGGAAGGGCAGTATAAACACGAGGCCCCGTACACTATAACGCTCCAGCCCATGGAGATACGAACATTCCATATTGACGTCATCCAGAAAAATTCTCAAACGGGAACATGAAGATTGTTATGCAACATAGTTATATTTGTATATCGTATATTTTATTAAATATTTATTTTTTCTAACACAGTGTCACTGGTCTTTAGTTATTATAACTGGTGAGTGAATGAATGGTGTTTTGCGCCGCAGTTGGCAGTGTTCGAGCTACAGCAGAGTGAACTCTGACTGATTGAGTCCAGGCAAAACCATGCTGACACGGACAGTGTACAATTACACACGATCAGCCAGGCCGCACACAACACATGGTAATGTGTTGAAAGGGACACAAAATACTAGTATGTAATACTGTAGGAACATTGTCACGTACTCGGTCTTTTTTACTTTGATAACATCAAGAACGCGAAATTTCAATTTGTACAAAAGCGTAATGGTGCCACTTTGGCACCCTTATTGTATTATCGAAATTTTTCGTTATTTCAATCATTTCTTCTTTACTTCGATTTTCCTCTCGTTACTTCGATTATTTTCTCGTTATTTCAAGTTCATTTCAAAAGCTCGAAATTCCGAGTTTTGTCTCGTCATTTCAATTGTTTTCTCGAAATTTCGAGTTTTTGAAATAACGAGAAAAATAATCGAAATAACGAGAAACTAATTGAAATAACAAGAAAATAATTGAAGTTGCGAGAAAATAATCGAAGAAATGAGAAAAATCTCGAAATTTCAAGTTATTTAAATAAACTCGAAGTAGCGAAAAAATAATTCAAATAACGAGAATCTAGATTTGAAAAAAAATAAATTAAGTTACTAAAGTGGCATCATAACGCTTTCGTACTTTTGTCACGTGTTAGTATTTTATGATTGGTATTTACTGTTTTGGTAATTTGCTAATGTCACATTCTACACTTCCCACTGTTAACCACAGGCCGAGGATACGAGAAGGCGATAGTGTCCCTTGCGGTATTCAGTACACCAGGCCATGCTCTGAATACTTGTATCCATGACATGTCGTGTCCGGTCATGATGACATTAGAGCGTGAGACGTGACGTTCCTTCCTTGTTAGTTGACTTGATGAAGAGCTTCACTTGGCCTCATTAGTTGATTGATTTAGAGGTCCACATAGCCTTATTAGTTGACTTGATGAAGACCTTCACATGGCTTATTTGTTGGCCTGATGAAGAAGCTCACATGGCCTTATGAACAATACTGACATTTTCTCATATTCCAAGATTGTTTAGAATCTCAAGATTGTTTTCGGCGCTACAAGTGCCTTTGCATCTAACTGTCGAGCTAACGCAGCTCATTAACAGCTAACTGCCTGTATCGGGTATCTCTGGGCGTCGGGTCCCTGACACTGAAGAATGGTTGATTCTGATTGGTCAAAATAGAATTAAACCCAGTATATAATTCCATTCGATACCTCAAAATTAGTAGCCCATTTCACACACAACCTTGCGTATGAAACCATTATCGACAACCGACACATCGATGCATGTAACAATGGCTGGCGATACTTCATTAGAATTTTATAAGTTTTATATCAGAACGACAGCTTATCAAACCTTATGGAATCTGTTTCAGAACACAGAAAAACACACTAAGCACCGAGTCAGGGCCACACAATTATTTCTCACGTGCAGCTAAAACCTCCTAGTTTAGGGAGGTTCCTTTGTCCTGATTCCACCAGTAGGTTCACTTCCACCAGTAATTATCACGTTGGTGTGAGCAGATTACAGATACTCTGGTTTCATGCAATTTTTAAACAGCACTGCGCACCTTGAACAACTAATTTGGCAGTGAGGTGAGTTGAAATGGGGTTTAACGTCGCATCCAAGATCATTGAACTTATATAGAGACGTGCATGTACGTGTGTGTGGCTGCTTGTACTAGTCCGGACTGATGCCGATTTATAGTGCTAGCTCACTGAGATACCATGCCGCAGTTTAACATGAATACCCTACTCAGACACAGTATACTGACTCCGAGCCGACTAGTCCTTGTTTTAGCCCCTTAATGCCAAGCGCCAGACAGGGTAACAACAAGTACCATCTCTTAACGTCTTTTGGTATGACGCGGCCTGGGATCGAACCCCGGACCTTCCGCTCTCCGGGCGGACGCTCTACCACTAGACCACGGAGGCGGTCCATTTGGCAGTGAAGAGTAACAGGTAAGCCACGTACAGCCAGGCCGATGTTCCTGGTGGCGAGATGGTCGTTCGTAATATGGATTACTGTTGGGGAGTTATTTCAAACCAACTGGTGCCTTAGTACAACTTCAAAATAACTACAGTTCTGTTATCAATAAAGTTTGTAGGGGACATGAAATACCATCATTTCACTATTTCTACAACCTTGGAAATGTCATGTTAATTTCAAATGACTAAGTGCAAACAGTCCAAATATACAACAGGCTGAGATGAAATTAAATATATTTCTGTTTGTTTGTTTGTTCGTTGTTTAACGCCGCACTTATCAATATTCAAGCTATATGACGGCAGTCGGTAAAGAATCGATTCTGGATCAGACCATCTAGTGATTGACATCATATGCATCGATCCACCCAATTGGGATACGATGACATGCATCAACCAAGTCAGCGAGCCTGACCACCCGATCCCGTTAGTCGCCTCTTACGACAATCATAGTCGCCTTTTACGGCAAGAATGGGTTAGCATTATGTTGAACTAGTCAAGAATAATAGGAAACAGTTTATCACACCTGTGACCTTCTTCGGAACTTTCTATGTGTATCCAATGTGGGAGGACTACCGTTAAGCTTTCTTGACGTTACGTTTATAAATATTATAATACAGTACTGGGTATATCTCCTGAATATACCTCTCTTCCCTTGTCATTGTATCATCATAACATTAACACATTGGATCAATTAGGGAATCTCGGGATGAAGGAAAACTTTCTAAGGTTAAACATGTACAGTGTTTCAATTTATGATAACCGTGTTTTTTTTAGCTGAGATATTGCTCATCTTGAATGCTGAACGGTTGCAATCCCGCTTTTCGTGCGAGTTCCTTATGAATGTATTGATAGGTCAGTATTGTAAGTTAGTCATCGTATTGTGCTTACACCTGTGATGATGCAGCTGATTGACTGTATTTGTTGATTGATGAAGAATCACACATGGCCTTATCAGTTGATTGATGAAGAGCTTCACATGGCCTTATTAGTTGACTTCATGAAAAATCTCACATTGTCTTATTAGTTGATTGATGAAGAATCACACATGGCCTTATTAGTTGATTGATGAAGAGCTTCACATGGCCTTATTGGTTGACTTCATGAAAAATCTCACATTGTCTTATTAGTTGATTGATGAAGAATCACACATGGTCTTATTAGTTGATTGATGAAGAATCACACATGGTCTTATTAGTTGATTGATTAAGAGCTTCACATGGCCTTATTAGTTGACTTGATGAAAGATATACCCCCAATCATATTGAGTACAGGTTAATTAAAAGATAGGGGTTGTTTACGATTTAATGTCTATATATTTGTTCAAATGAAAATAATTGTGTATGAGGCAAGAAGTATAAACATGTTTCCAAAACAGTGGCCCTCATCATGCTAAGGCCCCTGATATGTTGCAACAATTACAAATTCTACGGATAACAACTCCCATCAGCACAACAACGGGTTCGATTCGTCATTTGCATAACTGGGTGGTACATGTTAATTTGTTTCATTTCTCTTATTTTGAAACGTACCTGGGTTAATAAAATACTTTCCATATGTACAATTTATGATTCCGACATGATTCGTGCATGTCTAATGTTAAGAGACAATGTATTTTATTGGACAATAATTGCAGCTGTTTTGCAGTGTTTCTGTTGAGATTCGATAGACGCTCATTGCAATGTGTTTTGACATTGCTAAGTCGTCAGGAATGTAGTACTATTTAATGTAAGCAGTCGCCAGGGAGTTAGTATCCCCCCCCCCCCCCCCCCTCCACACACACACACACACATGATAGAACTTCATCTTTATCACCATTCTATGATATTTCTAGACAGGAAAGGTAACTTACAAAGTTGTAATATACGTGAACAGCTTAAAAATTGCTGAGTAAGGGTAAAAATATAGACTCTCAGGGTCGACCGGTTTATAAATAAAATGCATTGTCTTGTACAGACCTGCACACCAGGTTGTGTCAACGCCCTGTATTATTGAAATAGCTGAAGAAATGCATGAATTGCCTGGATCAGATAATACACTTGTTTGTATACAGTCGTGACGAAATTAGGGCAACCTGACACACATGAATATAACCATGTTGACCTTAAGGTTAAACTCATTCATGTGTGAACAATTGTAGCCTAGACACCCGTACATCTCTTCTATATAGAATCGCGTTACAGTACACCTCGATGAGTCAGCAGATACATTCATATACATGCATACCTGTAAAGCACAAAACCTTGAAGCGTAGCCGGGACGTTTTCTCGAGGCCATGAGTGACCATGTAGCTTCAATATCTTAGTTAGTTATATCACTGGACATTGGACAATACCTTTATTCAGTAAACAAAGATCTGGGCTGCAATTCCTTTATCGGACACACAGCTGGTGACTTTCTTACCTGTGTTGGAATACTGCAGTTGTTAAGGAAATAGCACTTGTTTGGAAGGTAGGTTTCGTTAAAATTTGTTATCTTGTCTCATGCCATACTCTCTGCTTCCTTAATCACAATTCAACTCCTTAATGGCCCATTAGGATTTAACATTGTTAGCAACTTTATACCCTATGTTTCTGAATTTACATGGGCTCATTTTCCGTAATGTTTACATAACTCATAAGAATAAGTCATCAAATAGTAAAAGCTTTCTGAAATGTTTTTGTTAACAGTTTATGAACCTACACACTGTCCAAATATTGTATGCACAAAATGAATTTTGTATGTAATTTACATAATTTATGTAATTAATGTATGTAATTCCCCCCTCCCTGTTCTGAAACATCTTTCTAAACATAATGGATGATATTATTTAAATCAGGATACATTAATATACTTTCAGTTATATGAGTCTACATAAAAATAGCATGCTTAACTAAATCTTCATTCTGCCTGTTTTGTTCCCTGGCATTTGCAAGTCATACTGCCATAACAAAATGGCTAATGCTCAAGTTAATGTTCGATGTCTTGCTAACTCCCAGGGTGGACAGAACTTAATTTTCAACGGACACAGATTCCGAAATAAGAAAAGAAGAAACACCACCATACATTGGCGTTTCTGCAGGAAGGACTGTCCGGCGACAATCAACGCTGCACACATTTTATGAATCTGACAGATAGTAATTTTCTCTATATAGACATGCAACAGACTATAGGTAATCCCCCTATTGTTACCCATTTAACCATGGCTGACTGCACCTGTACCCTATAACAATAGGCGAGGGCACAGTCAGGTGTGCTCATACTCAGTGTGTTAGATTTAGGCTTGGATCCAGACCCTGACCCTCCCTTACTCCAGTTATACTGTGCCCAGCACAATATGTTTTGAACGAGTAGCCTTGCGATATATAGCTCTAAACATTTGTTTAGCAATATGTACACAAATATGAACGTGATATCTAAATTATATTTTTATTTAAAAACTGTGGGGGGGGGGGGGGGGGGGGCACGGGTGGCCAAGTCGTCTGAGGCGCCGCGATTCGCTGTGCAGAGTTGCGTCCCTTGGGCACGCCACTGGGCGCGACAGATACTAAAGCAAGGCATGCCAGAAATACGAAACCTACTGCATCCTTACGAAAGCCTTGGGCATCACGTGCGTCAGGGGACAAGCGCCATCTGATTGGCCGTTAACAGTTGTACAAGGAGGAGCAAAAAGCATCGCTTTTCCGTCTATTTTACGCTTGAAAAAACTTTTCCTGACACTTTCTGGGCGCTCACCAATTAATCAATTATAATGATTTTTTTTGTCGTTTTTCCGTCCAATGCCCATATACGGAAAACATCGATATTTTCGTGTTTGCAGTGACATGGCCGTATTAGTTCACTTGATGAAGAGTTCACCATGGCCTTGTTGGATGACTCGAAGAGCTTCACGTGGCCTTTTTAGTTTACTTTATTAACAGTATCAGATGGCCTTATCAGTTGAGTCGACGCAGTCTCACATGACCTCAATCGTTAAGTGATGAAGACTTTCAGTTGGCCTGTTTAGTTTACTTTATAAACAGTTTAGATGGCCCTATCAATTGAGTCGAGCCTCACATGACCTCAATAGTTAAGTGATGAAGACTTACAGTTGGCCTTTTTAGTTGACTTGATGAAGAATCTCACTCAAGTGATAAAGAATCTCACATGGCCTTATTAGTTGATCGATGAACAGCTTCACGTGGCCTTATTAGTTGATTGATGAAGAGTTCCACATTAGTTATTAGTCGATACATACATACATCGATATTTTCGTGTTTGCAGTGACATGGCCGTATTAGTTCACTTGATGAAGAGTTCACCATGGCCTTGTTGGATGACTCGAAGAGCTTCACGTGGCCTTTTTAGTTTACTTTATTAACAGTATCAGATGGCCTTATCAGTTGAGTCGACGCAGTCTCACATGACCTCAATCGTTAAGTGATGAAGACTTTCAGTTGGCCTGTTTAGTTTACTTTATAAACAGTTTAGATGGCCTTATCAATTGAGTCGAGCCTCACATGACCTCAATAGTTAAGTGATGAAGACTTACAGTTGGCCTTTTTAGTTGACTTGATGAAGAATCTCACTCAAGTGATAAAGAATCTCACATGGCCTTATTAGTTGATCGATGAACAGCTTCACGTGGCCTTATTAGTTGATTGATGAAGAGTTCCACATTAGTTATTAGTCGATACATACATACATCGATATTTTCGTGTTTGCAGTGACATGGCCGTATTAGTTCACTTGATGAAGAGTTCACCATGGCCTTGTTGGATGACTCGAAGAGCTTCACGTGGCCTTTTTAGTTTACTTTATTAACAGTATCAGATGGCCTTATCAGTTGAGTCGACGCAGTCTCACATGACCTCAATCGTTAAGTGATGAAGACTTTCAGTTGGCCTGTTTAGTTTACTTTATAAACAGTTTAGATGGCCTTATCAATTGAGTCGAGCCTCACATGACC